TGCCAATGATGCTCTTTCTGCAGCTTGCATATTTCAAGATGGGCCATGAAATATTAACTGATGAAGTTGGGAAGTTCTTGACAATGCTAAATGTTGAAATTCAAAAGTAAATAACAAATAAATAGATAAATGGATAATAGCCATACCTTATACAGAGTGAGGAGTGAGTATGAACAGCTATCAAAGAGCCAGAAATCAATTGCTGCATATTTGGAACAGCAATCAGCTCAGATATGTATACCTGATCCAGACCCATCAGGTACTATAACTAATATTGTTAATTGGTGTTCATGCTATATGGTAACAGATCCATTTGTTGAGTATCAGCCAGCCAATCTCCAGTTGCAGAGTAAATCAGGATACCTAATGTACAGACAGTAAGATGACATTAAATATTGTACATGCATGATGTATCATAACTAGACAAGGATCAAAATGGGAGAGGATATATTTCTATACAAAAGAACACTTGCTTTACTGGCAGCATCTGAACAGAGTTAGTAACAAAAACCATGAATTATGAATTCTATTATTATCATTGCTATTGTTAGGCTGCTGAGATATTATTGGACTTGACAGCAGCTGGGGTGGATGCTTCATCAACTGATATTGATGACAGACGATACGCATTTCAAATAATAACAGTACAACAAACTCAACAGGGAGGAGGAATGAGAAAGTAACAGTATAAAAGCATAACAAAATATAATAAATAATATTCTCTAGAGCACTTTACTTTCAAGCTGAAAGTGCAAAGTCAAGAGATGAAGTAATGCCTATTATTATTATACTATTATAATAAAATATTATTATCATTATCTATTAATAGTGGATTGCTACTTTTATTAATATTGTAAATGCTAAGAGGAAGCAAATGCAATCTGAGGCTGTAGGAAACCTGCTAGAAGTAATTAAAAATAATAAATAACTTTTAAAAATAATTAATTGAAATTTAGATTGACACAAGAGAAAGAACAGATTCGGATCTAGTTAGGTACATGTACAATTAATTAATTAACTATTAATTTGTTTAATTAATTAGAATTGAGAGGGAAAGAGTTAAAACATTCGTCCAATCTCATTCAAGCTCGACACTGCCCAAGTACCCATCAATACCGCAATCATCTCCAACAAAGCAGTTAGCCCCGCCTCCTTTACCACCGAGACCACACCCACAAAAACAACAAAAGAGAGCACGCCCACCACCTCCACCACCGTAAGACACACACCCACACATATTATTAAAATTAATTTACTCTATTTAGGTTTGGGAGAGGCAGAAAGCAATCAGTACAAAAGCTATTGGAAATCGCTGATGACACACAAGCAATGGATGAGGCTGCAGTGGCCTCAGGCTACAGAAAATCATTTACAGTAAGATACTTGGGATCTCTTGAAGTTGATAAAAACCAAGGTAATGGCTACACAATCGTTGCTTGTTGTTGTTATTATTGTTGTTGTTGTTGTTGTTATTATTGTTGTTGTTATTATTGTTGTTGTTGTTTTTAAGGTGTTAGGGTAGTGAAAGAGACTATTAGAAGGATAGTTGCAGCAAGAGCATTGAAGAATATAATGGCAGCATACTATGTTAATATAAATATAACACACAGAGGGATTAGGTAAGAGAGGAGAAAGGAGAGAGTAGTAAAAATATTGTCAAAAACTTTCGTGTATTCTTGAACTAATAGTTTGACAGAGATTAAAAGTGGTCAAGTCAATCATGTTTTCAAAATGAAGGACATTTCATACTGTGCATGCCATCCGGATAATAACAAGTATGATAAATATTAATTATTATAGTTATTAGTGAGTAATCACTGAAACAGGTTGTTTGGATTTATTGTACGTGAATGGGACAACGGAAAGTACAAGTTCATTTGTTACGTATTTGAGAGTGACAGGTCTGGAAAAGAAGTAAGGGAATTACATCAAAAATGAAAGAATTAAACATTTTTATTCAATAATACTAAGTGGTATTTTAGAATTGATGTGACATACAGTTTATAATTCAAAAACTTTTCAACTTGCACTTTCTACATAGCATAAAAACATCAATATGTATTAGAAAATGTAATAAAAAGTTGAGGTGATTTCGGAGCCATTTTTTGAAAAAACCATGGGCTATAGCCTTGGGTATTTTTCAGAAATTTGGCATTTTCTTAAAATTGCCATAACTTGATAAATTGAAGTCGGAATGAGCTCAAACTTTCTATACAGCATAAGGACATCAATATGTATCAGAAAATGTAATAAAAATTTGGGGTGATTTTGGAGCCATTTTTTGAAAAAAACCATGGGCTATAGCCTTGGGTATTATTCAGATTTTTGACGCTTTTAAAAATGGCCATAACTCGAAAAATTGAAGTCGAAATCAGCTCAAACTTTCTACACAGCATAAGGGCATCAATATGTATCAGAAAATGTAATAAAAATTTGGGGTAATTTCGGAGCCATTTTTTTGAAAAACCATGGACTATATAGCCTTGGGTATTTTTCAGATTTTTGACACTTTCAAAAATGGCTGTAACTCGAAAAATTGAAGTCGAAATCAGCTCAAACTTGCTACACAGCATAAGGGCATCAATATGTATCAGAAAATGTAATAAAAATTTGGGGTGATTTCTGAGCCATTTTTTGGAAAAAACCATGGGCAGCCTTGGGTATTTTTCAGAAATTTGGCATTTTCTTAAAATTACCCTAACTTGATAAATTGAAGTCGGAATGAGCTCAAACTTTCTACACAGCATGAGGACATCAAAACGTATCAGAAAATGTAATAAAAGTTTGGGATGATTTTGGAGCCATTTTTTGAAAAACCATGGGCTATTGAGTATTTTTCAGAATTTTGGAGTTTTCATAAAAATGGCTGTAACTTGAAAAATTGAAGTTGGAATCGGCTCTAACTTTCTATACAGCATAAGGACATCAATATGTATCAGAAAATGTAATAAAAATTTGGGGTGATTTCGGAGCCATTTTTTGAAAAAAACCATGGGCTATAGCCCATGGTTTTTTCAAAAAAATGGCCATTTGAAAAAAACAACCATAACTTTAAAAATTGAAGTCAGAGTCACCTCAAACTTTCTACAAAGTACAAGAACATCAATACGTATCAGAAAAAGTAATAAAAATTTGGGGTGATTTCTGAACCATTACAAAAAACCATAAGCTATATATAGCCTTGGGCATTTATCAAAATTTGCTAGTTTTTAAAAAGTGCTCATAACACTAGAAACTGAGCTCAGAATTGGCAAAAACTTTCTACACAGCATAAGGACATAAATAAGTATTTGAACATTTAGGGTGATTTGGAGCCATTTAAAAATAATCCATACATGCCCATGGTATTTTCATAATATTATTTGAGATGGTCATAAATTAAAAACTTGAATTGTACTATAATAGTATGGGATATTTTTTCAAAAAATGGCTAGAAAAGAGTTCTCAATTTCTATTAACATATGAATGTTTGAGCTGATGCAGATCAAAATTGATGTTGCCACAGCCAAAAACACTACCAAAATTGCAAAATCCAATCAATATTCAGTCTGCTACAATTACATGTATATCACCATTCATTATCTACATACTGTAGGTTTACCAGGCAATCATTGATGCAATTAAATATGCCGTTAACATGATAATGGTCAGTAATAGATTATAAACAACAACAAACATGTTTACACAAACAACACAGGGCAATGAATCAATTAGCAGTACAACCGAAGCTCCTCCCCTTCCCCCACCCACTCAAGAATACTACGCAGCACAAGACGAAGGAGAGTATGAAGATATGGTATTTTAAAAATTACTTTGAAAACCAATAATTAATAATCATTATAGACAGGGTTTGCTATACAATCAGAGTACCATGCAAGGACGTCATCAGGGCTTTTCTCTCCCCCTCCCCCTCCCTCCCCATTGACAGGAGAGGGGGAGAAGTGGCAAGGAGGGAGAGAAAGAGGGGGAATGCCCAAATCGCAAAGCACTGGGTCTTTTAGAAGCTCCTTAGAAACGCAATTAATGAATCTACCAACAGAAACATTAACAGAGGATACGGAACAAGGTATATTAAAAGAAATATACAACGTCTATTATTACATGATTTTAATTTTAATCTTTATAGATCAGCAAGATATGTTAATGGATTTCACAACACCTCAAGCCACACCCTCATTTTTACAAGCCACACCCACTGAAAGTTCGGTACAAGAAGGCTATGCTATCATAGATCACACAACACCAAGTAACGTTCTAAAAAATGAAGCCACACCTATCATACAAGATGAAACCACACCCACTATACAAGTAGAAACCACACCCACTATACAAGATGGCCGTCCTGAAGACACGCCTCAATCAATGCCAATATATGCTACAGTTAAAAAGGTCGCCACACCCCCCAGCACACCTATATACGAGACTCCTACTTTGCCTTCTGAAGATACAGCTTCAATGATGACAGAGCGACACCAGATCGACGATGATTTCGATGCTTTGCTTGACTTAGAGAGAGCAACGGAATCAGCTCAGAACGCCACACAACTTTTATAAAAAATAATATTGCTACACAAAGCTGCAAATTTTATTTACTTTTTTATCCTTTAAAATTTTTACAATAAAATTTGGCTTATGAGGCGGGGCCTAAATGAATTAGCCACGCCCTACTGCAAAAAAGAATAATAATGGCTGCTGGCAGTGCATTCTCTCATAATTTACGATACAGAGAGTCTCTGATCAGTGGAGAGGCACTGTGCATCGATGAACAGTTGCGTCAGTTTATATACAGGAGATTTAAGCATCCTGCCTCCAAGAAATCTGCTTTAAACTCAGCTGGAGTCCCAGTGATTGAATCTGAATATGGATCAGTATTCAATATGGAGTTCAGTCCTTACAATCCTTACACGCTCCTCGTAGCACACTCCCGCAAATCATGCTCACTGTATGACAGCAGACTGGAGAAGAGTGTCCACTCTGCTCCGTACATTCACAATGACCCAGTCAATATCATCACATTCCTTGATAGCTTCATGTTTACTACTGGATCAGATGACGAGACCATTAGACTGTGGGATATTAGGAAATTTCGGTCGAGTGTAGATTGCATTGGTGTATTACGAGGGCACCAGGGATGGGTAAAGAACATTGAGTATGATCGCGACACCAATAAGCTCTATTCCATTGCTTTTGATGATGGAGTCCGATATTGGAATATTAATGAGGTTCAGAAATATGCAGAGGGCACTGTGGATAATTTATTATTTGGTATAAAAGATGGAGTGAGGATGAAACTCTCTTGTGACACAATGGCTATCAGCACTAGGAAAAACCTCATTTATATTATTAATGATTTCGAGAGTGAGTCTGTGGCCTCTATCTGCAACTGTCTTCCAGCCCAGGCACCATTGAGATTTGGTGATGTTGTCAATGTTGAGTTATGCTCATCAAATGATAAAAACAAGCCATCGATACGTGTTATCAGTGAATTAGGCGAGCCTTGCTATGAGACACCACTCTCACTTGCTTTTGCTCCTACTAATGATCTTCATCATTCCAGTTCATTGCTGGCATTTAGAACAGTAAGAGTTGTCATTGATGATGGGTATTTATCATTAGATGAAACAACCAAACTATATGACACTAGCAGTGATCCTAGCACTAACACTGATCCTGATCCTGATCCTTACATTAATTCAGATACCGATTCCGATGGAAGTGGTTTGGGTGTGTCATCATATCATAGTTACCATAACACATCAAAGTGTTTCTTGAACACAATCACTGAATACTCTGGAGAAGGTGCAGCTGAATACATAAAAGAGATAAGCTTTAGTCCTGACGGTCGATTGCTTGTCTCTCCCTACCAAAACGGAGTTAGGCTACTAGCTGTTGATACTAACTGTACTAATATTGATCAGTATTATTGTGACAACTCTCCAAGTGAGGGAGAGTTTAAGGTAATCAGTGTATGCGAGGAAGCTTGCAGTACTCCAGTACTTACAAGTAGACTCAACTCAGATATAATGTGTTTAGCAGCTGGGTCTTGCAAAGGTACTGTACAGTTCTACTCACCACAACTTTAGGTGTAATGATTATATACTGTACTTATTTGTGTCATTTATTATTACATGTCTTATTATTATTATTATCATTATCATTATTATTAATTTGTATAAGAAGTTACAAAATATAGATTGTGATTGTCAACAAAAACATTACTCCATTTGTCTACTATTTTTTGGCATCTTCTTTTAGTGTCACTGTTCTATTGAAAACCAACTAGAGAGAGAGAGAGATACAGTTAGATCTAATGATACTATAGTACATGATTACTCTATCATCATTGCTGTCATAGTCCACACAGAAGTAGCCATGACGTTCAAACTGAAACGATGTAAGAGGAGCAGAACCAATCACTGATCTGTCCACATAACCTTTCACTAATATCAAAGAATTCTAAAAAATAACATTAATTATAAAAAATAATCATTATTATTATTACAGGATTGACATCGTTAAGGTATCCTCCAGGTCTCTCCTCAGGGTTTTCATGTAAAAATCTAGTTAATAAAATTAATATTAATAGTACTAATTAATAGCTCACAGTCTGTCATATAATCTTATATCACAGATCACTGGCGATGAGACCCAATGAATGAATGCTTTCGGTTTATCAGTTTCAGACACTTTAATAATATTGACATTTAACTGCATAACAGAGCCAGTATCATCCTAACAACACCAATAATGATATAAAAAAAGACCGTGTTTAATTAATTTGTCTCTCATACCTTTAAAACATTGTTAACACTCATTACATATCCAGTATGTCTCAGACCCACTGCCTGGGACATTGTCAGACGTCTGTAATCTGATTCTGCAGTCTGGCATTAGAATAGAAATACAGAGTTATGAGAACCAAACTAATGTACTTACTTCACGGAAGTCGTTTCTTTCAATAAACAATTCTTTATCAAACGGGACGGAATGAGACCCCATGGAAGGATCATGAGGAACATTAGTGACATCTATATCAACCGACTATTGATTGGGAGGGAAAGGAGGAGGGTATACAAGTAATAGATGCTTATTGTACTTACATTTTTGTGTGGAAAATTATCAATTACAATCTTCAATGGATCCAACACAGCCATTGCTCTAAATAATAAAAATAATATCATAATTCATTCTTATCTCCTCTCTCTCTCTCACACACACACAAACACACACACACACACACCTATGTGCTGTATTATTCAATTCAGCTCTAACACAAGACTCAAGCATGTCTGGGTGAAGTATTGTCTGAGCCATAGTCACACCAACCTACACAACAATAATACAAATGATATAAATAATAATAACTCTTTCTCTCTCTCTCACTTACTTTAGCACAGAACTTATTAATAGCTTCTGGAGGGAACCCCCTTCTCTTTAAAGCGGTCAGTGTAAATAATCTTGGATCATTCCAATCACTAATGACAATACAAACAATATAAGTATTATATTATTATTATTATCAGTACTCACTTGACAATGTTATTAGTGATCAGTTTTTGTATTTTACGTTTGGATACGACGGTATACAACAAATTAAGACGACCGTATTCCCATTGGACGGGGCAATAGACATCCAGTGAATTACACAACCAGTAATAGGCCGATCGTCTAGAGAAAGAGGGAAAGAACTAACTTTTAAGTCTACTTAATTACAATTAGACGAACTCCTGGTACTACAATATTAATTTTTCTTTTTTATTTATCTTTTTTAATGCTATTGAATTGATTCATCTGTTACTGCTATAATTAATCATTTTTAGTAACCTCTTTCTAAAATTATAAAGTGGACTAAAGGTACTATATCATACATACCTAGATTGGAATTCTTTGGTACAGAGAGAATGAGTTATATTCTCAATGGAGTCACAGAGACAATGAGTAAAGTCATACGTTGGATAAATGCACCAGTCACTACCGGTGTGTGGGTGTGGGGTATACTTGATACGATATGCCACAGGATCCTGTTTACCATCTTCCATAATGTACTTCATACGGAGGGTAGCCTGTGGGTGTGGTTAGGGGCGTGGCTTATAACCAGGTATTCACTTACTTCACCTTCGCTGAATTTACCTTTTCTCATGTCCTAAGGAGAGAGAAAGAGGGAGAAGGATTAGAAGGTTTTAGACACTTAATATTTAATACTTCAAAAAGGTCAAGAGATTCCTGTATTGGTCTGTCTCTCCAGGGGCTTGGAGGAGGATTGTGACCTTTCAACTCTTCGTATTGTTGATGACACACGTAACCACACCCCCTAAATAATTTTAATAATAATTTTTAAAAATAATAATAATAATACCTCTTTATTAGTTGAACGGCAAACTCATATAATTGAGGAAAATAATCAGAGGCATGTGTGATCTGAAATGGCTTATGGCCTAATTAATTAATTAGTTGATTAATTATTAGCCACGCCCATTAATCATTTACCAAGCCATTCAACCATTTCTTGTATTCCTAATATAAATCTCTTCTCTTCTTTCTCAGGGTTCGTGTCATCATATCTCAAGTAAGTTATTCCGCCATTAGCCTACACAGGGTTTATAATGAGATGCGTGCATGTGTGTGTGTATGCAGTCATACTTTGGCATATCCAAAATTAAAGTTAATTGCTTTAGCGTGTCCGATGTGTAGGATACCATTAGGCTCTGGAGGAAACCTCGTTATAACCTATTAATAATTAATTAATCAATAAACCCCACCCAGTAGCCGTACCCATTACCTGCCCTCCAGTGACTTGAAGATGCTTTTCTAACAGTTTCATTGTGTTTGGAGTCATTACGTAGCCTTCAGTGGTGTAATTCTCACCTGCACATAACATACATGTACATCATTAACACAGTAATCATATATGGGCATTAAATAGAAGAACCTGGTTTATGAAATTTGAGTGCGTTCCCCACCAACTGAACAGATGATTCAGACCCAGCACCGACCGACTGATCAACTTCAACTGTCTTAGCTTTAGAAGACACCTTCAAATATTATTATTACATCATTATTCTACAGCAATATCTTTTACTTTATTCTCTTTCTTTTGTTTTGCGTTATCAGACTCTGTCTTTGGCCCCAGCAAAGACTCAATCTATATAATCCTGCTAGATCACACCTCCTTAATAATAAACCAAACCCACCTCTTCGTCCAGCACAGTTTTTAGCAATTTACCATTAGCCCATTTCAATTTAGACTTTACGCCAGCTTAAAGGAATATATTATAGATAAACTGCAATGTCTCCTTAGTCCTTACCCATTATTTTTCCAATATTAAAGTTATATCGTTTGGCAATCAATTCTTCTTTATTAGCTTCAATGGCAGATCTTATCGCCATGACGATATCGTCTCTAGTGACGACCACACCCACCCCACACATTGCCTCAAACTCAAAACGATTGATCGGATCAACAGGATGAGACTTCAAGTAATCAAAAGCAGCTTTTAAAAATTAATCAACTATTTTAATTAAATCAAATTAATTAATTAATTACCTGTTAGTTGAGGGTCGGAGTGAATTTTCCTTGTGCTGACATAATCCACCAGCAATCCTAATCTCTCGCTGGACCCTTTATAACGAGAGGCTATGCCATATAACAAATTACCAACACTTTTATCTAGCTCTTCTTCTTTCAAGGATTCCAAACACTAAAAAATTAATCATTATTAATCATTTGCTCGCTGTTTTTAATGTACTTTATTAATGGCTGTTTCTAGCTGCTTTGAAACGGCTGGATTGGCTAGTGTCTCTTTCGCTTTGGCCTCTGAGAGCCCGATTTTAACAAAGAGCTCAACACTCATTCTTACCTAGTTATCAACTAGTTAATAAAAGGGTGGAGTGTGACACCACGTGTGACTGGGCGTGCCTGAATCTAAAGCCTCGCCTATTTCTTCGAAATCCAAAATGGCGACCGACAGATATGCAAGTTCTCTTTCTCCTCGTCCTTCTCTCCTCGCTCGTCAGTCCTCTATGCTAGGGGAGGAGGACATAGAGAGATCACTCTCTCCTACTACAATGCAAACGCGGCAAGTCTTATATCATTATTGCTATTGTTGTTTTATTGTTATTATTTTTAGTATTTTTATTATTGTTTTTTGTTTTATTTATAGATTGCGTCACATGTCTAAAGGCTATGTTGGTGGCATAGATTTAAAGTCTACACTTCTGGATGAGGATGAGGGAGTTTGGTCTCATTTAATGAAATCCAGACATGTTGTAAAGTTTAGAAGCTACTTGAGACAAAGAGCAAGAAATGACTACATATTGTGCTGCCTACCAAAGAAAAACAGATGGAGAAAGAGAATAAAGACCCTCGTTTATTCGAGGTACATACACATGAGTACATGTACCATATTTCCTCAAATGCATGTACATGTAAAAGCCAGAGCGTCTATTTCTTAAAATGGGATTTGGACCTCCAAAATAAATGAAATTTGAACCAACAGCGAAGTTTGAACCAAAAACCACATGCTCATTACTTCTGGAAGCTTAAGGAAGTATCTCTACAAGGCATTAACATTGTATGTTACTTTAAGGCTAGATTTGCATATTTATAGTTCCATTTTTGCTACCCTGGCGTTTATTTGGACCTGGCTTTTATTTGAGAATATACACTACATTAATTTAATGGTCAATTATTTATGGGACTATTACTATTAGGTATTTTAATGGTGTCATTGGTTTGCTGGTCATTATTCATTGCATTGTACTTGCTACTTATAAATCTTACTCTGCTAATGATCTCAAGGGATATAATAAGAATTTGGTGAGCCACACCCAATTATTATTATTATTATTATTATTATTATTATTATCATAGCTATACAGCACAATAGCATTTTTGCTAGTGTATATTGTTGAAGCTTGCCTGAGGATCATAGCTGATGGGCTCATCATGCATCCTTCGGCCTACCTGAGGAAAATACCAAACCTCGTCGATGTCTTTGTCATTTTTGTTAGGTAAAGAGTACTCCAAATGATTAATTATAATTTAAAGCTCTTTCTTCTAGTTTTATATACCTGGTTACTCCCTTTGGTCTTGTAATAGGAGAAGTGTTTGCAGCCTTGATCACTCTGAGACTCTTTCGAGTCATGCTTCAGTTAAAGAGTAAGCCACACCCAAACCACACCCCTTTTAATTAACTATTATATATTTACAATTTATAGCTGTTAGGTTTCTCTTCAGGGCTCTAGGGAGTTCCTTGTTTCCATTGCTCTATGTAGCTTGGGTCACCTTCTGCATAATGATGTTCTTTGCTTTAGTTGGACTCGAATTATTCAGTGGTGGACTACATAAAGCATGCTATGTGAATTATACTGACACTGATACATGTTAGTATGAATTAAGTATATGTGAATTATACTGATACTGATACATGTTAGTATGAATTAAGTATATGTGAATTATACTGACACTGATACATGTTAGTATGAATTAACTATACCCCCTTAACCTTCATATTGTACTCTTTATGTAATATATACAATGGAACCTCCAAATAGCAAAGTTTTAATCTAAAGTGCCTATATTTGTAGCTTCTAGAAAACCTTTATAATTATTATTGTAATTTGTCTAAAATATGATAGTTTTTTGTGTCCCAAAAGTTTTTTTATTTCGAGGTTTCTCTGTCTATACTTCTCCAACTCTTAATTTCTACTTATTTTTTCCAGTGGTAATGAGACAGTTTCAGGTGAGTCAGTTTCCATGTCATGATCCCGACTACTTTGGAGGGCACAACTGCTCATTAGCTACTGATAAACCGGAGGATGCGTTTTGTGAGAATTGGCCCGAAGGCCCCCACAGTGGTCTTGTTGGATTTGATAACATTGGTATAGGACTACTAACTGTGTTTCAATGCATTACACTCGAGGGATGGACATCAATATTGTATCAGGTGATTAGAATTTATACTCTGAATCAAACTTTATACACAGCATAAGGGCATCAATATGCATCAGAAAATGTAATTAAAATTGGTATGATTTTGGAGTCATTTTTTGAAAAAAAGCCATGGGCTATAATCTTAGGAAAATGGCCCATTTTAAAAGTTGGCCATAATCTAAAAATACTTGCCTGCACAGAAATGTTGGCAAGTCCAATAGCAGGGTTTGATTTTGGAGCCAATTTTCAGAAAGAGCCCATGTATGTACAATAATTAAAAATAAATAGTGATTGGTTTAAATCCTCTCTCTTATTCTTTGTATAGTATGAGTCTGTCTATGGGACTAGTTTTGTTTGGATTTACTTCATTTCACTAATTTCCTTTGGATCAATATTTATGCTAAACTTGCTCCTCGGAGTTTTAACAAGGTACTGAATAATAATAATAATAATAATAATAACAACAACAACAACAATGATAATAATAATAATACTCTTTTTTTCTCTCAGTGTTTTCATTGGTGTTAGTGATCATCAAGAAGTTGAGGGTCATCTTAGAGTTTTGAAGAAGAGTAGAAAGATAAAGGAAGATTATGATGGCTACAATGAATGGATGAAGAGAGGCGGGTACTGTAAGTTATTTACTAATAACTATTGATAAATATTTATTAATATCTGGTAGGTCATCATGGGGGCGGAGCTAATGAAAATGATGATGGTGATGTTGATGATGATGATGATCAGGAAATTGACGAAGAATTTAACAAGCATGCTAACAGCGAGATGAATAATAGCACATGTAATAGTACTAAATGGTGAGAAAGAGCCGTATAGCATTTTAATTTAGCAGAGTTTTATTTTGGCGATTGGTGGTTTGCAAGCAGAATCACCAATATTAAAACCACCAATCATTAATGCGCATGCTCAGTAATGCACGTGTACACAAAAAATTGCCGAATTAAAAACCGCCAATTACAATTTTACAGCAAAATCGACAAAATAAAGTGCTACCAAAATAAAGCGCTATATGCTATTGTTATCACATGTGTAATGAATGCAAATTTTGGTGTAAATCAAAATTTGTCCATGTTATTACAATTTGTAAAATTAGCAGAAATTTATCATCAGGCTTTTTATTTTCTTTTTATTATTTTAGGGGCCCGTTTTTGTTTTTCAATAAAAGGTTGAGATCAGTTATTCGTCATGTCGTCAAATCTCATGTTTTCTTCTGGAGCATGATAGCAATAATTTCTATTAATTTCATGTTTTTATCTGCCGATTTTTATCCAATTGACAAAGAATGGATTTCATCACTAAGTATGGCCATGGAGTACATTTTAAACATTGAATATCGAGCTCTCTCTTTTTCTAGTTATTATTAATTATATTTTTACCGGCATTTATATCATTGAGTGTTTTTTAAAACTTTACAGTTTGGGCCCAAGACGATACTTCACCTCACAATTTAATAGGATTGATTTCTTGGTATGATTATAAGTGATAATAAAATTATTTATATATCTCTGTTTTAGTTCACACTCATTAATATTATTGATATATTAGCATTGGTCCACATCAGTGATATATATTTCTCAGTCAGTTCAATCGTTAATGCTTGCAGAGCTATCAGATTGATCTCTGCCTTTAAGTACACTCGGTAAGAACTTTTGCTTTTTTGTTGTTATTATTGTTTGTTGTTATTATTATTGTTTGTTGTTATTATTGTTGTTTGTTGTTATTATTATTGTCTGTTGTTATTATTATTGTTTGTTGTTATTATTATTGTTTGTTGTTTGTTGTTATTATTATTGTTTGTTGTTATTATTATTTGTTGTTTACGTCTAGATATTGGAAGGGAATGAGAGCTATAATCTCAACATTTGCAGGAGTAGGTGTGGTCATATTGAGTGTAATGGCTCTTCTACTGTCTTTCATATTCACTGCCTCGCTCCTAGGAATGAGAATGTTTGGTACCAGGTGGGTGTGGCAGATGGGGTGGAGCTAGTTATTAATATTTATTAGGTTGTTTGACATAACTCACCTTCATCCAACTTTTAATGATTTCGTCGACTCATTTTTATTAGTGTTCCAGGTAATTATTTTTTATGAATTAATAGTAATTATTATTACTTAGCTAACGACGACAGAAGATTGGAACACTATCATGTACAGGTCTGGGCTTACAAGTGATGAGAGGTTTACGTATAATATTGGGAACTTTGCAATAATCATCTACTATCTTTATATCATAATAATTGGAGCTTGTATCCTTAAAAAATTAATAATAATTAACTACTTATAAATTCTGATATACATGTACTAGTGATTTCAGTACAGGGTCTTTTGTCAAAAACAGCTAGGGGGGAATTGCTATAATTTCATGTAGTTTCAATCACAATCGGTTTTTTTAAGAATTTTTAAAAGTTGATCAAAAATTTGGTCAAAGTTTCTGTACTGTAACAGTACATGGTCTCGGGCCAAATTTTGCCAAAATTGAAAAAGAGAAAATTCTCCATTTTAAATATTTTTTCTGATGCATACATATACATGTACTTATGCTGTGTAGAAAGTTTGAGCTGGTTCCAATCAAAATTGGAATTATACAAATTTTTAAAAGTTGCTCAAAAATCTGGTCAAAGTCCCTGTACTATAGTACATGGTCTCAGACCAAATTTCACCAAAATTGAAAGGAGAAAATTTTCTATTCTAATATTTTTTTTAATGCATATACAATGTACACGTACTTTGTTGTGTAGAAAATTTGAGGCAATTCTGATATTATTTAAATTTTTTACAAATTTTAAAAATTATTTGTTCCTTAACTCTCATCATGCAACAGTTAATATTGTTAACATCTTTCTGGCTATTGCGATTGACAAGCTATCAGAAGTGAAGGCAGTAAATGAAGAATCCACTCACAGACTAGAGCAGAGAGAAGAAGAGAGGAAAGAGCTGGAGGAGCAGCTCAATGCTTTAAAAGACCCCCTACAATATTTCAAACTGTCCCAGACCCTACGCAAAGTCCTGATATTCTATTCGAGTAATTTAAAGGAAGAGGAGGAGCTGCAAGAGACCAGGAAGAGGAGGAGGGAGAGGAGCGTTAGTGAAGCTCACGTTAAAGTAGACAGATCTGTCTCGCTACCTCTGGCGGAGATAAAGAGAAGGAGTTTTGCAAGTGCTCATGCTGTTTCTGATCCTGGAAGAATGACAGAGGAAGAGGGAGAGAGGAGAGAGCAGCTAAAGCATTACCTGACTGGTATGGTACCTCAGAAAGTATCAATCGCTAATCCACTCGGGAAATTCTTTAAATTGCAGCACTCGGCGTCCTCCATGGCGACCGCCTCCCAGTTGAATACCGGAGTAAAAGCAATGACTCTAGAATTGACCGAGACCACTCCGCCCACTTCTAGAGCCGACCAATCAAAATCAAAGAAACCCGATATTGATAAAGACGAGGAGGAAGTGACTGATTTCTGTCGAAACAATTCGATTAATTCTCTTGGTGATTGTTCACTGGAATTGAATACTCCGGCTTCGCTAGTAGCCCCGCCCAGTCCATTGGATCCGCCCACTGATGCTTCGGTTGCTAGATTAGTGAGGAAGAGCTCTTTGGAAGACATTGATTTGATAATACCACCTGAGTCTGAGAGAAGTGGTATGGCTAATGGCGACAAGGGGCTGGCTATGAAACCAACTAAGTTTAAAAAGGTAATTAGTAATTGGTTCATAAATGGTAATAGTTAGTTAATTGTTTTGATAGATCCGCAGGGCATGGAGCATTTTTAAAGAAAAAGGTAATTACTTCAATTAAAGCACTCTAATGATACTATTATTCTTCTTATTATTATTATTACTATTACTGTTATTATTATTATTATTATTATTATTATTATTATTATCATTATTATTATTATTAAACACAAGAGAAACCCTAGGACAAACAGCAAAAAAAAAACAAAAAAAAAAGAAAAGGAGAAAAATAACCACAATATTACTAACAACAACAACAGCTAATAACTATTATTATTATTATTATTATTATTATTATTATTATTATTATTATTATTATTATTATTATTATTTAGGTTCATTATTGCTCCATTGGTTATCAAACTATTTTGGTAGCATAATAATTGACCCAAGACTGGAATTGAAGGAAATTCCAGCTCATTCTGCTTTCTTCATACTAGCACCTGATAATAGGTAAGGAAAAGGGACTTTGACCAAATTTTGCAAAAAAAAAAAAATTGAAAAAGGGTCTTTTAATTTCTTTGTATTTTTTAATTTCCTTGCATCATTAGGCTGCGTGTGTATTTTTACAATGTTGTAAAGTCTAAACCATTTCAAACTGTTACTTTCACCATCATTATACTAAGCAGCTTATTGCTAACCCTTGAAATACCAGTCAGGTCTGAAAGCAGTCTCCTCTGTGGAATACAGGGGACTATATTCTTCTTTGATATATTCTGCTCAGTCTGGTTCCTCCTAGAATTCATTTTAAAAGTAAAACCTAATAATAGCAATGATAATGAATTAATGTACATGTACATACATTTTATTTAACTGTACAATCCTTATATACAGTACAATATAATCAATTCATTCTTACCCTCCATTTTCTTTAGATTATTTCTCTTGGTGCCATCATCCACAGAGGCTCTTATTTCCATTGCTTGTTTAACATAATTGATTTCTTTGTTGTCGTAACGACCATCTTTCCACTGATACTGCACCTTGCTACCGCTAATCTTAACGATGAGTAAGTTAAACAACTATTAATACTGTATAGAAGGAAATTTTGGAGGGAGTCAAATTTGGTGAATTGCTAAGTTTTGGTGATTGGCGAATTTTAATTTGGTGAATATGTGGCCATGTGCCATTGAGAATGCGCATCATGGCTCAAAATGGTGGATTTTATTTTGGCGAATGGCTATCAAAATGCCAAATTTAACTACCTCCAAAATTTCCTTTTTATTATGGTACATTATATCTACATGTACAAACTAACACACACTCTCTTTTATTCTCTAGTGGGATTTGCTTGCCCTACAGTCAGAGGTTGTATCATGAGCAGAATAGCTACATGTACATTGAAGTCATATTGGTCTTTAGGGTCTTGCGTCCTTTGAGACTCTGGAGAGTTGAAGGATTATTTGTAAGTAATATTTATTTATTTATTTATTTGTTTGTTTATTTATTTATTAGCTCGTTACCAAAGGGCTATTTTCTTCTCTAAGGAGGATGGGCTATGTATTCTTTGTTGGAACTGTTTTGTTGTTAATTTTTGCGGTCATTGGAGTACAACTTTTTAAGGTTTACTAAACATGCATAATAACTCTTAAGTAATTTATTATTTTGATTGTAGGGAAGGTTTTTTTATTGTACGGATTTTGTGAGTCACACTGAAGAGGAATGCCGGTAAGTTCCTATTCCTGTATTAATCAACATCTGCCCATGTATTGATAGTAACATCAGTTCTCATTCACATGACTGCGTGTGTAATGATATTCATTGAGTCCAACTATTTGCTTTTTATAGTAATAATCATGCGATCCCAACTGTTGCTTTTATATAGTAATGGCAATAATCATGTGAATGTTGTTATGATGTGCGGATTAGAATCGATATGGTATGAGTTATCATTCTAGTGTAGTGAACCGTGCAATGCCATTTCCATAATTATAATAACATGTAGTACTCTCTTCCTTCATCTTCTTTTTTCTCCTTATTTGCATACATACATGTGTAATTATTTATTCCCATTACTCAAATATCTTTTCTCTCTCTTAAGTGGCCAGTACTTCATTTATCCAAGCAATGACCTTAACTGTCCAAAAGTTAGTCTCTACTCAATAATAATATTATACTTAAATCATCGTCACCATTATCATCATTATTATAGGTGCTTAACAGAGAGTGGAAGAAATGGGATTTACATTTTGACAACATTGGTTGGTCGTTTCTATCAATATACACAATGATAACTAAAGAAGGATGGCAGGAGTTAGTTCAGAGAGAGAGAGAGAGAGAGGGAGAGAGAGAGAGAGAGATGGGAGAGAGAGGGAGGGGGAGAAAAAGAAGACAAAGTAGAAGTAAATATGCCATTCCTCTCTCTCTCTCCTCTCCAGTATTATGTATCACGCTATTGATTCCCATGATGTTGGTGAAGGCCCTGTATACAATTTCAGTAGATGGGCACTCGTTTATCATGTACTCTTCATGGTTCTCGTCACATTCTTTTTAATCAATTTATTGGTCGGTTTTGTTATTGTCACGTTTCAACAGAATGGGATAAAGCGATACGACGAAGCAAATCTCGACAGAAATCAAGTATGATATAATTATTGATAATTATATTTAAATAAGGCCTCCTCTTCACTCTTTAGAGAAATTGCTTGTATTTCTCTCTCACTTCTGTTCCAAGGAAGAAGTACATACCACAGTTTTCCTTCCATAAAAGACTTTATTCTGTCATTAATTCTTGGCTTTGGCGTCTTGTCATCAATATACTGGTCGCCATTAATGTCATAATATTATCCTGCCAGTATTATACTAATAATAATACTAATAATATGGACTCTCCGTCTAAACTTGAAGTTACCATATACTGGATCAATTTTGGGTTTACTATTCTCTTCACTCTCGAGGCTGTTTTTAAAATCATCATTTTAACGCCACCTGTGAGTTACAACCTGGAGTGTTGTCATGATTATCATAGTCATTATTTCTGTAGCATTACTTTCGAAGCTCGGAGAGAGGTTTTGAGTTTCTGTTGGTAATTGGTTCCGTTTTAGAATTAACATTGCAATCAGTTCTAGTTAGGGTAAGTGCATACGACCAACCTCCATCATTATTGCTGTTGTAATGGCACAGTTATAATGAATGACATAGGAGCTCATTTTTATTTATTTATTATAATTTTGTATGAGCACCATTACTTTATCATTGTTGTTATCACATTTAGGACTCTAACAGTATCTGGAGATACTCACAGATTGCTAGTTGCCTTAGAGTCCTCAGGCTAGTACAAATATCCAAGAACACACGCCTCATTGTGTGGACTGTGCTTCGTTCACTAGAGGTATGTTAATTGAGTAATCCAATCACAACTACTTAATTCGATTAATAGATATTTCCGTGGGTTGGTGTGTTACTCTTAGCAGTATTATTCACGTATGCTATTGTTGGAATGCAGGTACTGTATATGTCATGTGATTAATAATGTGATTTGTTATGTCTTGTTATCATGTTTAGGTATTTGGTCGTATAAAGCCAGTTACGATTGACAACAGCACTCATAATGCTATACACCAATACAACAATTTTGCTAATTTCCCTCAAGCACTGCTAGTGATGATAAGGTTCATGGATTGTACATGAACTTGTAGCTTTTTACTCCTCTCTCTCTCTCTCCCTCTCCCCCCTCTCTCTCCCTCTCTTTCTCTCTCTGTCTCTGTCTCCCTCTCCCCCCTCCTCTCTCTCTCTGTCTCTCTGTCTCTCTCTGTCTCTGTCTCTGTCTCTGTCTCTGTCTCTCTCCCTCTTTCTTTCTCCCTCCCTCTCTCTCTCCCTCTCTCTCCCTCTTTGTCTCTCCCCCCTCCTCTCTCTGTCTCTCTCTCTCTGTCTCTCTCTCTCTGTCTCTCTCTCCCTCTCTGTCTCTCCCTCTTTCTCCCTCTTTCTCTCTCCCTCCCTCTCTCTCCCTCTCTCTCCCTCTCTCTCCCTCTTTCTCTCTCCCTCCCTCTCCCCCCTCCTCTCTCCCTCCCTCTCTCTCTCCAGGTGTTTTACTGGTGAGAATTGGGAACAGATAATGTTAGGATCAGTGAATGCCCTGTGTGTTGATGAGGTACAGAATCAGACCACTACCTGTGGATCACCTTTCACTTATTTCTTCTATCCATCATTTCTTCTCATCAGCTCTATACTAGTATGTCTACACATCCGTACAATTATTACTATCATTATTTCTCATTGTTTTCATGTGTCTTCTTCCTTCCTCATTGCCTCCCTCCTATTATGGAAGGTCTTAAACTTATTTGTCGCTATTATCATTGATAATTTTGATTATTTTGTGCGTGACAAGGCAATACTGGGCTCACATGATTTGACTTATTTCTATCAACTTTGGGCAAAACTGGATCCATCAGCAAGGTACATTCCCAATACACAGTATAATTAGTTCCCTCTCTCTCTCCCCCTTCCTCTCTCTCTCCCTCTTTTTCCTCAGTGGTAAGATTCACCATACTGAGTTAATAAAGTTAATGAGATCAGCTAATCCACCATTGGGTTGGGGCAGACTCTGTTCTCAAGTTTCATGCTACAAAGTTAGTAATGATAACAAAGATAATACATGTATAGCTCTCTCTAACTTCTTTTCTGTGTCAGACTGTGTGTGTACATCATTTGTATTTGTGTGTTTGTTTATGTGTGGGTGCTAATGAAGTGGAGGACATTTTAAAATCCAAACAAAGTTGGCATTCTAAGAACTTATGTCATGTCTCCATGACAATATTTACATGTACACACAATAATGATGTAACCCATAATCCATGTACATGTAAATATTTCAAATACCTTTTAATTATCGTTTGACGTACATTGTGTAGTTATTCACATGACGCACTTTACATGTATATTTAGTCTGTGATTCCTGATACATTTAGCATGTCAGGTACATGTGCATGTACACACCTGATGTGTCTAACAATGTTATCATTTATTTCATTGCTTTTGTCTCCTGTACCCAGAGGATGATCTCACTGTCTATACCAGTAGATGAAGATGGCATGATTGCATTTAATGCAACCTTGTTTGCGATTGTTAGAGTATCACTTAAAATTGATTCATCGTGCGGCAAAAACAACAACAACAACTACAATAGTGAGCTCTTATATTCAATTATTATTATCATTGTTGTTATTCCTATTATTATTTCAAGGTCGTAGTGCTGATTTAAGGTTAAAGCTACAAAGTGTTTTTCCAAATTGTCCCAAGAAAATTTTAGACATTGTCCTCCCAGAGAGACCAGGTAAACAATGTGTGTTGTTGTTTTTATTGTTGTTTTGTTGTTTTGTTGTTGTTGTTGTTGTTAGTGCGTACTACAAGTGAGGAATATGCTGCATTGTTTATTCAGCAGTTCTGGAGGAGATGGAAACTAAAAGTTGAGAAACAGAGAGAGGGGAAGCCACAGCCTCACCAGCAGAGAATGAGCAATGTAAGTATAGGAATGAGACTATTATAGTATGGGATTGAAGCAGTACAGGAATGGGAATATGATAGTATGGGAATGAAGCAGTACAGGAATGGGACTGTGATAGTATGTTTATTATTAATACAGGTATTACGACGTGTTCCTGATATGGGCCCAACATTATTGCAACGAAGACTGACAACTATCAATATGGTAAGAATTACTACAATGTACATGTATGTTAAGCATTTCTCTCCCTTTCCATTTATTAATAATTAATGTATTTTTATTAATTAATGTACATGTATTCTTTTAATATTCTGTAGGTGAATGTTAGTAGTCGGTTAGCAGTATCTCCCAGTGACACTAGTGCTGATGATACTTCTCACGGATTAAGAGAAATAGCCAGTACTGATGTCCCGGTATTGAAACCAATCAGATCTCTTCATCTGATAAGACTGGAACCAATCACTGAAGGTAACGATCAGGAATCGGCATCTGTTGATCAGAATTCAGCATCTCGTGATCAAAAACCAGCACCTGTTCCTCGAAAATCTGTCTTGTTTGATCAGGAATCGAGTGCTCTTGATCAGAAATCAGCCTCTATCATTACTAAAGCTAAAAGTGTTGATTCTGATATATTTTATGATCCCGAAGTTGATAGATCCCCATCACTGATTGCTAAGAGACAGAGCGTTATTTCTGACTCTGATGCATTATTTTCTACGCCCACTGGGTCAATGATATCACTTGATTCGGCCAAAGCAATCACAGAAACAACAGTTTAATGTAATCCAGAACAATTTAGATTTTTATTCCATCCCAACATCATTTTTATAGCTTTCTATGTAGCTCTCCTATCTCTCTCTTCTCCCTGTATCTCTGACCATTATATGACTTTAGTATAATTTTAATTTGATTCTATGTCTGCTGTCTCCTTCATTTCCTCATTCTATTGTCTTCTGTCTCTCCCCTCGCTGTATTTGTTGATGATCCTGCAATCTGAGTACATTATTTTGTGTAATGAAGTCCTATATGGTCAATATTTATGCCATATTTGTACGTGACACTATGTAGCACTGATTGCGTCTACATGTAAGAAAACTAATATTAGTAGCTTGTTCAGCGATTGTGCAATAGTTTTCTGAATATAAATAAATAAATGATTCGATAATGATGTAATGGTTTACAATGTATGGTACATAATACAATTACAGTGATCTATAATCAGTTAATCTTGCTGATGTTTTTCGGTAAACATATTTCTAATGCTATTCTATACAGCTTCCCTAGTAGCTGTATTAGTAATGTTTGATGAAACACAGCAGCTAGTCTGTAATAGGGTCCTTCAAAAGGATAAGGTGATATAGGGCAGAGGAGGAAGTTTATATTGACCCTTGTGATCTGTGTGGGGGAGAAAGGGAGGAGGGGGAGTGAAAGGAGAGGTAATTGGTATAATGTAACAAGGCATAGCCTTTGCTTACCATAGAAACAGGTTGATGTACAAAGTAGCACAGTATGAGAAATACTGCTCCTGAGAGACTTGACCAACTGAAATCAGTTAATGATTCTAATGCCTTGGTACCTAATAAGCAAATGAAAAACTATTATGATTTTTCTTCATCATTATTTTATTATCAAGAGACTAAAAGCATGTGTGGGTGTGTATTTATTTACCTCCTCTGTGGTATACAAGATATGGTGGGACTACAGCAAATATGAGCACATGCTGTATCCAGGAGAGTGCCACTTCACCATGAAACTATTGAGGAAAAAAGACATATTGTAATTTAATTATCTCCTTATTTCATCTCTCTCTTTTCCTTTCTCATGCATTGCTACGAGTGTTGCTACTTACTTGTCTTCCATTGACATCCATGAATATGATACCAAAGAATGCCAAGTGGAGTATGTGCATCATGCATCTTAGCACTGCAGTTGAGAATGGAGTGATTGGAGCTGCTAATAAGTATATCTGTGTTGCAGTTATCAAGTGACAGAAGAACAGAAAGAATATGGCTTCTTTCGATGCTAGCTTGTATCCAATCTCAACTCCAAGCACTATGCTCAGTGTTACTAGCAGTAAGGTTTTTATGCTGTCAGACTCTTCCTTCTTTGCACTACAGACTCGAGCTAATTCTTGCAGTCCATTATTAGCACTGATTGTCTTCACAGCATAAGATATTAGGTATATTATGAATACTACAGCTGATGAGAGAGAGAGAGAATAAATACATATTTAGTAATAGTTTTAGCAATTTACCTATTACAGTGTCAGTAAGAGCTAGTCTGGTGCTTAAGTAATTAAAGCAAGATTCATTATTTATTTCTTCTTTCGTCGAATCTCCTCCGTATAAAACATCTTCCAGCTCAAACAGTAAGCTGCTACCAGAGAAACTGTCTCCTCCATTAACTAATGCTGCAACACTGTTGTTGTATTTGCTATTCATCCTCTTGCTATATCTACAGCAGATCTCTCTTCTATATCTTTTTGTTGCTATATAGCCTCTGTAGCTCTGGTTGCTGGCTTCTATTATTTATCTGCTGTTCCACTATGCTGCAACCCTTAAATACACAATGTCACATTCCTGACTATACACACAGGAAGAGTGATGATGATACCATTTATAGTCAGTGTCCATACCACAAGACTTCCTTTTGTATCTAAGCCATATACAGTAGCACACTCCATGGTCTGGCAGGTACATATATATGTTTAGCAACAAACTATGACCTGTAACTACATTATGAACCATTGAAGCTCTCTTTGAAGAAGTCTTTTGACGCTTCTACTTCCCCTATTATTCCATTCAACATACCAACAATATAACACAAACTGTTATAATGTATATACATGAGTATCAGGACAGGAGTCAGTCATGTACTGTACATGTTGGCCTGTAATGTGATACAGCATTTTTTTGGAACTAAGAATGACAACAAAACAAACAATCCTAACCAATTCCTTACCCTCCCTATATATCACATGACAACAGCAACAGAAATGACATTCCTCAAGTCAATTACAGTATACCGTATAGAGCTTTATTTTCGAGGAGCTAAACTTTCGCTATTTTTGCAGTTAGCATGAAACCGCGAAATTAAAGATCCGCTAAAATTTCAATTGCCATTAAAGGTATGGCATTAACATTGTGAATCTGCAAAAGTTATTTCCACAAAAAATTGATTTTTATGAATCCGCGAAATTTTAGCTCCGCAAATTAAAGCGCTATACGGTATTAGGCTTATAACATTCAATGTGTTACAAAGATGTACAGTATTGCGGTGTGTGTATGTGCATTTATTGAGTCATTGGTTTGCTGCCATATTCAACACTTTTAGAAGGATCTGTGGGGTACTTGTTTTGACAAAATGTCATTAATCTCTTTACAGCCTGAGGGAAAAAAAAGAGAATGTTGATAAGCATAATAAATTAATTTAATTTTACTTGTATGTATTTTCTCTGTGTTTCATCGTTAAGTACATGTGCTATTGACTGCGAGAAAATCTTTTCTCTCCCAGTTCTAGCATGTATCCCAACCATTGTAACACCAATAGGCCAAGGGGCATTGCCGATTGACATGTCTAGGTACACGGAATTTGCCTAAAAATCAGAGTACCAATAATTAATCAACACTTTTCTCTTCTCCCCCCCCCACACTTACTTTTACATATTCTCTTTGAGTTACAAATAAACAAATATTTGATAAATGTTTTAAAATGTCAATGGAGATATTCTACAAAAGCAGCAATAACTAAGCAATAATAATAGCAATTACTTTCTTTCTTAGACTTTTAAAGAGTGGTTCAAGATAGGCCTCAGTCTGCCTGTGAGTGGCACTGACTAGTTTACCCTAAAAGTGCAAATAGAAACATTAAAATATTTATATACAGCATCAAAGAGAAAGAATTCAAGGAATGCAAACATAATCAATAATAGCTAAATATAAATAGAACAATAAAATACAATAGCATTGAGACTAAATATGAAACTCAAAAAGAGAATGTAGATGTAATTTATTATTATTTTTTAATAGCGTGTAGAAAGTTTCTACCATTTGTGATGAAATTTGCTTTTTTTCTAGTTTTTAAAAAATGGCCAACAAATTTGATTGAAACATGCTCAAAATTTCTACACAACATAAGCAATGCCAAAGGAAAAAAAATTAAAATGGCAAATACTCTCCTTTTCAATTTTGGCAAAATTTGGCTCGAGACCATGTATTATAGTACAGGGGCTTTGGTTCAATTTTGGAGTAATTTTGAAAATTTGTAAAAAAATCCAATTTTGATCGGAATTAGCTCAAACTTCCTACACAACATAAGTACATGAATATGCATCAGGAAAAAATATTAAAATGGCAAATACTCTCCTTTTCAATTTCGGCAAAATTTGGCCCGAGACCATGTACTATAGTACAGGGACTTTGGCTCAATTTTGGAGTAATTTTGAAAATTCGTAAAAAATCCAATTTTGATTGGAATCAGTTTAAACTTTCTACACAGCATATAAACATGTATATGCATCAGGAAAAAAAAAAATGGAGAATTCTTTCCTTTTCAATTTTGGCAAAATTTGGCCCGAGACCATGTACTGTAGTACATGGTCTCAGGCATGGTTTTGGGCCAAAGTACAGGGACTTCAACCAGATTTTTGAGCAACTTAAAAAATTCATAAAAATCCAGTTTTGATTAGAATCAGCTCAAAATTACTATACAACATACATGTAAGAACATGTATATGCATTGATAGGAATTCTTGTCATTTTTGATAAAGTTGCTCTCTCTCTCTCTCTCTCTCAACATTTCAATTTGCTACCCTTTCATTAAAATTCTGTTGTACTTTTACCAAATTTAATAACTTCTTGATTTACAAATTATGATTTATATCAATGCGTACTTGAGTGCTAAGTTTCCCATTAATATCCCTGACATTAAGTTCTCTTCCCCAGTCATCTAATAAAAACTAAAATCAAAATTAATAATATTGATTATTATTAGTATCAATTTACTGTTAATACTTCTAATACTATTTCGTTATCTTTGTCAGTCTCTTCTTTACCCAAAGACTTAGCCATCTCCTAAAAACAACACAATAGCAACAACAACACATTATGTCTTACAGCAATATCTTCAAATGTTCTTGTTTTGCCTCTAATTTTAAGGTCAACCTCGCCCTATCATCAATCGCATGACAATCATGTGACACCATTTAACACATATACAAACCTGTTTAGCTAGTAAATCCAGTTCTTCCTGATCTAACCTGTCCAGTGCATCCTTAAAATCATTACGAAGGCCCTTAGAAAAAGAGAAAATACATACAGACATTATTGATTTATTTATTAATCATTATTATTACTTTAACATTTTCTGGTGCTAATATCTCAATTTGCCTGTTATTAATGACAGATAATAAGTTATCAATTAATCATAAATACCTTAATCTTAAAGATGCCTCGTTATCAGTCTCACCAAACAATCTGATTGGTTCGTTTCTCTCTCTCAGCCTTCGAATTACCTATGGGTGTGGTTTTACCAATATTAAAGTATACATGTACGTACTTCGTGACGGGGTAAATTAAAAATGGTTGCCCCTCCATCAATTGCTGTTGGTGAGAATAACGATCCACTTCCTGTGGGTGTCGTTGGGCTAGCACCATGAACTGGACCAGTCTTCTCTTCTTCATCAGGCTTTATTGATATTCTTTCTAATTCTCCTCTTCTGAAATATTTCTTTCCCTTTTTACATGCATTACATTTATTAGTTGCACTTTGTATTTACTTTAGTGACGTTCTTTTCAGCCAATTCTTCTCTTTTTCTTTTTTGTTCTTCTCTCAGGATTTTTAATGCATCCATTTTATAGGCGTGGCTCACTGGCTCGGTTATTAATCGTGTGGGCGTTAAACGACACGTGGTGTTGCTGTTTGCGTGCGCGTGGGTGTTGAACTGCTGGGCGTGGCTAGATCCAGCGTTCTTTTCATAACACTGTCGAAGATCTTGTACTCAGTTGTCCTTGGATATGGATTCCTCGGTAGTTGGGGTAAGTAGTGCTGGTGGAGGGAGTGCTAATGGTCTCTCTTACGAAAGCAAAGGACTGGGTAAAGTAGAGCACACGAGGCGAGCACTCTCTGACGGAGAATTATTGCAACAGCAGCAAGATGAGTGCTGCAACAGGAGAGCTGCAGTGATAAGAGAGAGAAGGAAATACTGGAGATCTAGGATAAGACTGAGACCAAGAAAGATAGTAGTACTAGGAGATATGAACACGGGAAAGAGCTCACTGGTCTCAAGTTACACCAAAGACCAGTTTCATGAAACATACAGCCCAACAATACTGAGGACTGTCTGCACTGATGCTAAAGTCAAGATGAACACTGTGGAACAGAAACTGGACATTATTATTATTGATACTCCTGGACGCAAAGACTACAAACCGATAAGACTATGCACATACAAGAAAGTTGATCTGATACTACTGGTGTTTGCATTGGATGAGCCAGAGACGCTTGATCAAGCATGTAATTACTGGATGAGTGAAATAAACGAATCCTTCCATCGAAGCATACCGATCATACTTGTGGGTACTAAGCAAGACACCAGGGATGAAATATGCACCAATTTATGTAGCTGTGATCTCTGCTCCACTTCATTTCGTTACTCCTGTTGGAATATAGCTGCAACAACTAGTACAGAGCATGCTACTGAAGATATAGTAGTTACATGCGAACAAGGACAGAGAGCTGCTGACATGATTGGAGCAAATGCTTATATCGAAACGTCAGCAAAATATCGTGTTGGGATCAGAGAAGTGTTTGAGAAAGGAAGTAACATAGCCATCAGGAGAAATAGGAGGAAAAGAAAGATAAGAGGACAAGGGATTGAAGGAAGTTGTGTGATACTTTGAACTGTTTTTTTATAATTCATGTTGCATATTTTAAGTTATATCAATTTTCAATTTCACATTATATACCATACAACTTTTAAATAACAATTACTTTTAAATAACACTAAAGCACTACCAAACCAGACTACACTATAGTTGTATTTGCATACCTTTGCTTCCAACTGTAGAGTTGTTAATTATTACACAAAAACTGTTAAATAACAGAACATGTAAGGTTACCATGTAACATTGATTAACTAAAATATGCATATCAATAGCCTTTCAGACAATCACTGCCCAGCCGGCCTGATTGACCAACCATACAGAGTTTATACTATATATTGATAACACGACTTAGCTTCTGAATACGATTGAGCAAAATGTCCCCTTGCTTTATGGAAGACTGGGAAGAGAGAGAGAGATCAAGTTAAAAAGTTGAGAAAGGTCTCTCTCACCTGGTATAGAAAGTTTTTACTATCAGGTCTATTGGTTTCGACAACTCCGGCAACTTTATCAATGCGACAGTTTAACCTCCCTGAAGCTATAAATCTTGATAACTCCCTGAAAGTGAAAGGAAATGTTTATAGAAGAGACTGAACAACTGTAGTGTATTTACTTATCTATAAAAGACTCGCTAACACCAAAACATGTTGCCATATGGTGCAGAGAGAGCGAGCTATATGACTCTAATAGCTGAGAGTATCCCTTCACTCTCATTTCACGGACATAGTAACATGTGTGTTGCCATAAGTACCGGTCTATTGTAAACTCACGTTCCACCCACACTAATTAAAATGTTGTAAAAAGGGCACAGGGAGAATGTGGCTTACTTATTGATTGAAAGAATTTATCATATTTACAATAATAGAGCGAGTTGACATACTGGTTCAGCTCTGGATAGCTGTATAATTCTTCAAGTATCTCAGCACCATTGATAACCTACATAATAGCAAATAATAATACTATTATTATTATAAGTACTGGTTACCTTTTTCTTTAGTTCGCTGCGTGGTAGTGCAACCATGCAAGAGAATATGGCATATTTTACAAATGTCCTGTAGTCCATCAGCTCAGTTGAAGTGAATGTAGACATTGAGTCAAAGAAATTGACTGCTGTTGTCTTAAAGTCCCTAATTTGCAATGCATATAGGCCAGTGTACACTTTCAGTCGATTCTTCCTGTCCCAGTCTCCGCCCTCATCTACAAGACTTGATGATAATTAAATATTAATTAATTACTCAATTAAAGTGGGAGGGGCTACCTCTGTGCCTTCTCCAAGTTTGTCTTAACGAGTTCGTTGTCTCCGTAAAATAAACCGATACGTAACAAATAAAATATGACATCCATCCGGTAACCGAGGGCAACCGTCTTGTCATAGGCTAGTCTGAAAGTACTAACAGCTCCGTCCTAATTTTTAATTAATTGATTAAAAACCACACCTACTCATTAACTGTTACCTTGTCACCGATTTGACATAAATATTCGGCTTTCTTCATAAAAGCGTCTCTGGTTTCTATCTCTCCAAAGTTAGTTTGGGCGTCTTCAATAGCTGCATCAAGTTGCTAAAGGGTTAAAAATTTAAATACAGTGATTTGGATTTTGGTACTAACTTGTATTTTTGTTTTATTAATTTCTTGTATTTCGTCTAAAAGTGATTGGTCTATTGGCTTCTGCAAGTCCCGACACAGTGACGAATAAAACGGTGCCATTTCTGATATCAATAAAATAACATGAGTAATTAATTTAATTAATTAAACACCTTTCTCCTTAATGGCGGCCATCAATTGCTCCCAAACTGTCTCTTTATTAATAAGAGCATCCTCTACTGTCAATAGGAACCGCCACTGAGCTATCTGAAGGTCAGGATTCCTCGGGAGCCCTTCTTCATCAAGGTTTTCCAAAGGCATGATTATCAGTATAACTCCGCTGCACTATCCGCGTCTTCCGCGACAGAGTTGGTTGTTAGTTTACGGAGTTATACTGTGCTTTGCATCATGGCAGATCTTGATTTCGATCATGAGGAGCCACAGGAAGATGAAGTAGAAGATGGAGAGCTGAGCAGGTCGCCCAGTGGCAGGCCAAGAGATGAAATAATAGTTAAAGTTACTGATTGCCGGAAAGAAATTAACGACTGGGTGTATGAGATGGAGGTGAGAGGTGGGAGGGGCTGGTTCTAATGTTGCATGATGAATACTGTCAAGAGTGGTGATAGTGATACTGTATAGGTTAGTATTAATGGAGAGACCCACACAATAGAGAGACAGTATAAAGAGATACAATGGCTGCACAAGATTATAACAAAGAACATTGACCTTGGAGGACATATTGTCAGTAGAGTATTAATGATAAATTATTATTATCATTATTATTATTTAATTATTTTAGGCTCCCCCTTTGCCACCCTCTCCATCGACAATGGCAGACCTGCCATCAACTGCAGTTATTGGTATGATATTTATTTGTTTGTTTATTTACTTGTTTGTTTATTGTTTCTAATTAGCTAAAGGTGATGCAATGTTTGGAGGATTAGTTCGCAGGCACACACTCAGACTTGAAATGTAATGAAATTAATAATGTTAATAATAATAATAATAATAATGGTATCATTATCATTTGTTGTGCTTAGGTTCTTGCAAGCACTAGCTGATCAAAAGTTTTTTGCTGATAATCATATTGTCCATAATTTCCTTGCTAATAAACAAGTATCTCTGTTGTTATTGTTATTGTTATTATTGTTTGCTATTAGTTAGGAACTCAAGAGGCCATTAGCTCTAATCTGTCAATGATGACAATTTCAAAAGCTTATTCTAACTTAACTCTCAGTGTCAGTGGAATACAAGTAATTGATATAATAAAACTTAATTACTATAAAGGGAATGGGCCTTATATTAGTAGCTATTATTGTTATGTGTTGGTAGGATCCAGATGAAAAGTTTGATACATTTTATAAATACGTTAACGAGATGTGTACTAAACTGGAATCTGCTTACGAGGTAAGTGGGCGTGACAATTAGCAGATTTAAGAGTGTTACATTTTCTAGAGATTCTCTGAATTTATATTTGCATGGCAAAGTAAGCCTACTATCGCTAATTAATTATTCATTGTTATTGTTACTATTAATAGAATTAGGCAATTCATACGTATTGTGTAAAGCAGCTCTTGAAGATGTTGGTGTCTGTGATAAGAGACACATCACCCTGACACAGTCAGTACTCATTCATTAATCTGAGATCAAAATCAGTGATCTCAGATCAGAATCAGTGATCTCAGATCAATATTATTATTATTATTATTCATTATTAGTATTGAGAATCAAATGGCTGAAGGATTATTTGACGTTGGAGTTAATGAGTGCCTTCTGTCACTGGATGCTGTCCTCTCATTAGCAGTTCCACTGTCATTTGAGAGCAGCTACTTTGTCCATTGTAAGGAAATGCTGGTTAGGAGGCAAGTGGCACTCCAGGCATTGCTTACTGCAAATCAATCACTGGACAAAGCTAAACCTGAGAAGAAGGACTTTGTAAATATATTTTATTTATTATTATTTTAGTATTATTTATTGTCATTTTTAAAGATAGAGCAGGTGAAAGTGAAAGCAGAAGGTGAATTCCATTCATTGAGTCGTGTGGCAGAGAAAGGGGTAAGACACAAAGAAATGTGTAATATGTTCTTTTTTATAATAAATATTATTGTTGTCATTAGGTTGTAGTATTCACTAATCAGTATTGCAATAAGTTGAAGAAAGGCTTGCAGTCTTATGCTGAAGCACATGTAGCCCATTCCAAGAGAACATTAGAATCTTTGTATCAAATAAAAGAGAAATTATTAAGCCCTCCAGTTGCAGGAGAGGAGGAATGACAGCTCTGCTGGTCTTGTTATAATATTAATGTGTGAATATTAATTTGTGTGTGTGTGTATATAATTTTATTCATAAAAGAATTTTTTGCTGCTTTTCAAACGTCTTTCTTGTTGGTATCTTAGAGTGTCTTGAGGAACACGGCCCCAGCGATGAGGAGGCCACACCACAAACATCACTTTACCGCACACTAGCCCTTTAGAAACCTTTAAGAAACAGAAAAAACTTGATTAACAATTTAAATTGCATGTAATCATTAATGCAGAGTTATTATTTGTCATTCTGCTATTTCTCATTAAATCTATTGTTGTTTTAAAGGTCCTTTGCTAAATCATGTACTCATATATAGTCTATTATAGAGAGTTTGAGGTGTTTTGAACCAGATCTGGGGTCAATCACAATTATAGAAGTGGGTTTACTGTTACAGCTTACAGGTCCGTAAAAGTTGCTGTCTTGACTTGCTCTCTCATTGTCTCCCTCAACCCAAATGTGACCTTTAGGAACAGTAACATACCTTGTCTTGTAATTACGAGTTCTATTAGGTAGGCATGACATAAAAACCATTTACACATGCGTCATACTTCAAAGTTTCATTCTCAGTCCCAATGACTCTCTTTACCATTTTAGTACCAGAATCTAGAGGTGAACTATTTAAATCATGTTTTTGGGTCAGTTGTGTTGAGTAAGGATCATTAACACATACCGTATTGCAATAACATCACCAGGTGCGGGATTATAATTACTGATACGCCATCTTGATAGCCAGACTCTATCATCAGTCACTGAACGCTCAGGATTTAAAGTTGGCTACAGCATAATGCAAAGGATCCTTTCATCATGATTCCCCTCAATAATCTCCCTTACTCTCATTGATCTCCCCGTTATTGTTGTAACAAACCCAACATTATCAGACACTGTAACGGCTACTGGAAGAACTACAGCAACACCATACAAGAAATAACGGAGAGAAGATATCAGATCATTCATCCTATGCTTCTCAGCTGCACGCCATCTTAATTAAAGCAGCCACGCCCTGCTGAATTTTAGCCACTCCCGTCCGTTACCAATGGCTACCTTGTGTAAGACTGTCTCTCGTGTCTTCTCGTCCAGTTTTCTCTCGACTGGCAGGGCAATATGGAGCCTGAGGGCTATATCTACAACAAGAGCATCCCTGGGGACAGAAATGACGTGCCGCGACGCTCTCAACTCAGCAATGGACGAAGAATTGGAGAGAGACGACAGGGTGTTTCTGATGGGAGAAGAAGTTGCTGAGTATGACGGAGCATATAAAGTAAGTGGAATGGAGTGCGTATATAAGTACAACGAGTGTGTGTAGGTAACGAGAGGTTTATGGAAGAAGTACAATGACAGGAGAGTGGTTGATACCCCCATTACTGAAATGGGTATTGCTGGAATAGCTGTTGGAGCTGCTATGGTGAGTGGGTGTGATTATGTGACTTTTACGTAAAATCGTGTGACTCTATTATTACTAGGCTGGGCTGAGACCAATCTGTGAGTTTATGACGTTTAATTTCTCGATGCAAGCCATAGACCAGGTCATCAATTCTGCCGCTAAAACATTCTACATGTCAGCAGGAACGGTAAGAGATTGCTCACCCTACAGCTACAGTCTTATTTATTAACCACACCAATTACAGGTTCCTGTACCTATTGTGTTCCGTGGGCCTAATGGAGCAGCTGCGGGTGTTGCTGCACAGCACTCTCAAGACTTTAGCTCATGGTATGCACATGTACCTGGACTTAAGGTGAGAGAGAGAGAGAGAGAGAGAGAGAGAGAGAGAGAGAGAGAGAGAGAGAGAGAGAGAGAGAGAGAGAGAGAGAGAGAGAGAGAGGGAGGGAGGGGGAGAGAGAGAGAGAGAGAGAGAGAGAGAGAGAGTGAAGGAGGAGGGGAGTTAAGAGTAATGTCTTATTAGGTTGTATCTCCTTGCACTGCTGAGGATTGCAGGGGATTGCTGAAGTCAGCCATTCGCGATGATAATCCTGTTGTAGTCCTTGAGAATGAGATATTGTATGGAGCTGCTTTTCCTATTTCTGATGAAGCAATGGACAAGAACTTTACGATACCAATTGGAAAAGCCAAGTTAGAAAGAGAAGGTAAAATCATAAAGAGATTTGTCTGATGCATGTACATGTACATGTATTATAAAAAATTCTGATTAATATTTGTGGATGGCCACTTTGAGGCACGGGGCTATAGTATAGTTACAATGTACATGTACATGTAGAACTTTTGAGCTGATTTTGATTTAAATTAGTTTTTTATAAATTTTTAAAGTTGCTCCAAAGTTTAGTAAAAGACCATACATCATGGTATTTTTGCCAAAAACAACTTCTTCATTTTTATTATTTTTTCTGATACATTTATGTTGTGTAGAAAGTTTGATTCCAAACAAAATTGGATTTTTTGTCAATTTTTGAAGTTGCTCAAAAATCTGATCAAAATCTCTGTACTATAGTAAAGGGTCCATGCCTTTTCAAAAAATGAACTCCAAAATACTTAAAATGTATATACATTCTCCAATGCATAACCATTATGTCCTAATACTTGTTAATACTACATTGTAGGTAATGATTGTACTATTGTCTCCTATTCAAGAAGTTTGGTCGTTAGTCTCGAAGCAGCCGACATATTAGCTCAGAAAGGAATTAATTGCGAAGTAATAAATTTATTGAGTCTCCGCCCACTGGACCGTGATGCCATCATCAATTCAGTGATGAAGACTAACCACCTTGTGACTGTTGAGGGCTGCTGGCCACAGTTTGGAATAGGGGCTGAAATATCTGCTTCAATAGTAGAGAGTAAGTACCAATTTGTTTATTAATACTTTTTCTCTATTAATGTACATGCACATGCGCATACATATTACTTAATGTAAAAGCCTATTATAATCTTAATACATGTACATGTACATCTTTTACATACAATGTGTATGTATTCATCAAGTGTCATACCACTCTTGCTGCTTATTGTATTCTTACATTCATCCTTTTCTGTGTATAGGCCCTGCTTTTGATTATCTTGATGCTCCAATATACAGAGTCACTGGGGCTGATGTCCCCATGCCTTATTCTCATCCACTGGAGACAAGATCAGTTCCACAGTCTGATAACGTTGTACAGACTGTCCTAAATATGCTCAACATAAGACAATGATAATTGTCATTAAATGAGAGAGGGAGAGGGTTTTATTGTTTTGCTGTTGTAGAATAGACTAATAAGTTTGCAGTTTTATCATTATTGTCAATTTTTGTCATGTAGATAGCTACAAATTATTTTTTTACTAATAAAGAATTATTATTATTATTAGCAAGTAGCTACAAGTGTTAAGCCCCTCTTTTATTCTTCCACGAGTGATCAACATTACGTACTGGAGTTATACTTGGGCATGGTATCTGTCCAGGTATTCTACAGATACAGTATTGACCTTTTCTCACGTCACCAAAGTTAGCAGGATTGGGCAAACTTAATTGAGCCTCACGTTCGACTTGAGAACTAGAACAAAAATAAAAACAAAAATATCTCAAGTTCACTTTTAAGTATAATGCAATAATTACACTTTTGACACCTTGCTAAGGCCACTCCAACTAAATTTGTAGTTTCTCCTTGCCGCCCACTTGGCCGCGTCAATATTTTAATTATTCGATAAAAATATTAAAAAAAAATAATAACATAAACACACGAGTCTTTCGAGGTTCTTTCACTCTTTGAAGAATAACTGGGCTTATTGCCACTCTCTAGTTCTTTGATGAACAAGGAATCAGGTATAGCTACTTTGTCAAAACTTTATTATTTTAAACAAAATTTATAATCAAAATTACATGTAACTTACCGCCCGCCTGCATCAGTCCCACACGTGTAAGGAGAAACTATGAATTTAATTGGAGTGGCCTAAAATTAGTGATTGTGCCCTAATTACTCACAGTGGTTTAGCACAGGTGATTGATAGTTCTTCTAAAATTTGTTCACACTTTTTATATCTACAATCAATGAACGTCTTTGTGTCGTTACTGTGATACACAGTGACTTGTGGGGTCGTTTTAGTGTTCTTGAAAGAGACTATCTGTATTTCAGGATTCTTGTACTGGATTTGAGGCACTTTCTCTTTCATGAACGCCTTCACACCGATACAGGACGGGTCTGTTAGATTGTAGAATATACTTACAACCTTAACACTGTTCTTTAGGTGTATCTTCCCTGCAGAAAGAAAGCTTAAAGTTCTCCTGTATTTGGTGGCCATGTTTATTCACGTGTGCTCAGACCACACCCATCAATCAAACCACGCCTACAAAATTATACCAGCCCCACCCATTTTAATGCTGCAGTACTTGCTCCTTTTTCTACTTCTAACTGCTGTTCATTGTACAGCAGAGCCTAGCACTCGTAATTCTTCTAAATGGAGTCATTATATTCAACAATACGAGAATGCTATCAGTCTGCAGGGTAATACAAGTCACACCTACACTTGTGGTGGAGAATATATGGGGGTGTTGGAATCTGATCTTGGAGTCTGGAGGGAGAGAGGAGGGATAAAGAGAGAGGAGTTCATCCATGCTAAATCAAAAGGTGTTCATTATCAGATTGTCAATGGGAAACTCTACAGAGAGAAGGACTGTCTTTTTTCGTTTAGATGCAAAGGAGTCGAGCACTTTATTTTAAATATCATCGAGGATTTACCAAATATGGAATTAATTATTAATGTATTCGACTATCCTAAAGTTAGTAATAAACAAATAATAATAATAATTGTTGTTGTTCTTTTAGTCTCATAAATATCATTCGCCATTGCCTGTGTTTTCATTCAGTAAGGTAAATTATAATAATTATTATGAATTATGATAATAGTAGTAATAATGATGATAGACGGTACATTATTGGGACATTATGTATCCTGCTTGGACGTTTTGGTCAGGAGGTCCGGCAGTGAGCGTTGAGCCAACTGGTCTTGGACGTTGGGACTTGAAACGAATATCAATTACCAAGTATTGACTAGCAATGCTAAAAAATAATAATAATAATTATTATTATCATAGATCTGCTAAGCAATGGCCATGGGATAAAAAGAAATCATTGTTATTTTTCCGTGGCTCAAGGTACTGAATGCATTATTCATGATTGTTTTATTTACATTACATTGCATGTACAATCATTTCTGTTATTTTATTCCTGTGTGTCGTATGCATGTTACGTTAGGACAAGTAGCGAGAGAGACTCTTTGATATTATTATCGAGAGATAAGCCTCATCTTGTTGATGCTGCGTATACTAAAAATCAAGCTTGGAGGTCTAGTAAAGTAATCCTTGCTTTTGCTTATCATTGTAATGCTGCTTTGATACTCTTAACTTTACAGGATACGCTAAATGCTCCACCAGCCGATGAAGTTAAGCTTGAGGAACACTGCCAATACAAGTATGACTGTTATTGATTTAAAATGTGCATGGAGCCTGTTCGTTCACACCTTGTTAGTCCCTTCAAAGTTTCAAGGGTATTATTAGCAGGGTGTTGAAACAAACATAAGCACAAATATTTTTATGACTACATCTATCATTAGGTATTTAGTTAATTTCCGTGGAGTTGCTGCTAGTTTTCGTTTTAAGCACTTGTTTCTCTGTCATTCAGTTGTGTTCCATGTCGGTAAGGAGTGGATTGAGTTCTTCTACCCTGCACTAAAACCTTGGATACATTATGTACCATTGACCACAGACACTGTTGACATACAGTTAAGTATGAGTGCAGGATATTTGTGATTTATCTGGTTCTCTCTCTCTCTCTTGCAGGGATATGATTGATTTTGTAAAAGACAACGATGACATAGCGAAGAGCATAGCAGTGAGGTTCGTCAGTGTATTTTTATAATAAAATTGTTATTAAGTTGCATTTAGAGGCTTTGAGTTTGTATGGAATAACTTAAGACCCGAAGATGTAGAGTGCTATTGGAAAAGATTGTTAATTGAATATTCTAAACTATTGCTTTGGACTGTCGATAAGGAGAGAGATTACAGTTTGATATCTTGAGAATAATCATTGACCCATGAAGCTGTATCTTATCAAAGTACATGATCTACAAGCTAGCTACAAGAAACACCTGTAAAACCCTTGCCTTGCATGCACATGTACCTTGGTATAAAAATAGTGGGCCTTTGGCGGGCTAACTGACCAGCAGCTGCTGAACAGCACTAGGAGACCACTCGGACTAGACTCAAGAACTGCAGGGGATAGATGGATCTCTACTGGGGATGGCCTAGAGTACAGGTGGATCTGGATGAAGATAATAGAAATGCCAATGCCATACCGATTGAAGCGGCTGTTGTCTTTTACAACAGCCAATCTCAATCATCTTCTTATAGTAGTTTTCCTACAGACTGTTGTGATGATGATGAGGAGGAGGAGGAGGAGGAGGATTTTGAACTGCAAGAAGAGGATCAAGAGATTGGAGCTAGTAAGAGGGGAAGGAAGAGAGGGAGGAGGAATAAAACTAAAAAGGAGAAGGAGGACTCTGAGGCCTCACAAAGAAAGCAGAAAAATTCTCAAGAGAGAAAAAGAGTGAAGAGTATAAGGCTAAAATATAATGAACTGAGAAAGGTTCTTGGCTTTGACACAACAAAGAAACTTTGCAAGCAAAAGATTCTTGACGCTGCAATAGAGTACATCACCAAACTGCAAGATATGATCAAAGATGACAGGGAAGAGGAGCCTCTTCTTCTATGTGATGAGACCATTCACTCTATCGAGAGCAGCAGCAGCGGCAGTACTGAGTGCTCATCAGTCTTGTCTCCCGCGCCTACTTCTGAGCTTAGCCCGGTCCCTTTTTCCTATTCCTATGGAATTGGACGGTGTCCTGCTTTAACTCCATCATTATGCTCCCCTCCTCAGGCTCAGTTCACACTGATGGAGTTATACAATCATGGAAGATGGAGGGCTACTCCTGAGATGGAGTTTCCCTGCAATGTCGGGGTCACTACGCCTCCTGCTACTTTTGATTCATCGTATACTATTTCACCACCTCCAACGATCCCTCTCCATCACATGATGTTCAATGAAAACTAGTTCATAAAAGAGAGTTTCAAAACTAAAGTTTAAACATGTTTTTGTATAGATATTTTCATGGTTTTCAGGTGTTTTCACTGTTTTGTGAGAAAGAAAGTTGCGTCTTTGCGAAAGACAGTGTGTTGTTTGCGTAGGCGGCTCATAAAATTATTCTTTTATTGAAGGCGTGGTTGAGGTGTGGTTGTAATTGTAAAATGGCATAGAGTGAAGACGAGATATTGAAGAGAGAGTAATGGCCAGTAAAGCTCAATCGGCAGCTGTAAAGAGAGGTAATGGCCAATGTATACTGTATAAATGATTGCTAGTAGCTATAGCTAAAAAGAAGAAGCCAAAGAGACCCAATGGAGGAGCTAAGAAACCAACATCATCACTGAAGAGGTAAGTCACGTGACGAATCACGTGATGCATATACATTCTATAGTCCTGAAGCACAGTCTGAAGATGAGTATGACACAACCGACGATGAGCAGGAAGATGCTGCTGATTATTGTAAAGGTACCGGTAGAAAATTAATATAATAATAATAATTATTATTATTGTTAGGGGGCTATCATTTAGTTGAGATTGGTGAAGTCTACAATGGTCGCTATCAGATAATTAGGAAGCTAGGCTGGGGCCATTTCTCTACCGTCTGGCTATGCAAGGATTTGAAGTATATCCAAGTAATCAAACTGCTCTATTTGTGATATTGTTTGCTAGGTGTGGGCGATTCGTTGCACTAAAAGTTGTTAAATCGGCAAAGCAATACATGGAAGCATCTCTTGACGAGATTGAGCTACTCAGAAAAGTAATGAGAACAAATATACCACTTTGACTTATCCTTTGTCTTTTTAACAGGTTGCTACTGCTAATAGAGCTAATCCTGGTTTAAAACACGTGGTTGAAATGTATGACAGTTTTAGGATATCAGGACCCCATGGCAACCGTATCCTATGAAATCCAGAGAAGGGGAAAGAGGGAGGGAGGGAGGGACTGGTTGTGGGAAAGGAATATTTTTTCTTAATTTCATTATAAATAGATATGGTAATGGTATTTGAAGTCTTAGGTTGCAATCTCCTCAGACCAATTATTAAGTATAATTACAAGGGGCTTCCTCCTTCATTTGTCAAACTAGTCACTAAACAAGTTAGACTGAACCAAAATCCTCCTTTATCCCCTCCCTCTCTCCTCAGGTATTACTAGGATTGGATTACTTACACACAGAGTGTGGTATAATTCATACCGACATTAAACCAGAGAACATATTGTTTTGCGTCAGTGATGAACATGTTAAAAGTTTAGCTAGAAATAGAGTGTCATCAAAATCAGCAGGTAATGGAATGAATAATACACTCATGTTTATTGTCATTCTCATCCTCTTGTAGTATGTAATGCACCTTCTTCACTTTCAAAGGTATCGCTTCTTTGTTTGTTTATTTATTGTTGTTTGTTGCTAGTCTGGTGGCGGCCCGATGACTAAAAATCAGAAGAAAAGACTAAAGAAAAAGTTAAAGAAGCACCAGGAGCTTATGGTCAAAGAAGAATCAATGATCAGCGATGTTGATGCTGTTACCACGGAAACTGATTCTGTTTCCATGACAATTGATAATCACACGATCCTACCCGAGAGTGTTGAAGAAGAAGACACAATGGAGACGGAGGAGACTGATCAATCAACAACTAATGGAAGCAGTGCTGGCAGCAGCTGTACTGATTCATTCGACCTCCTAGGGCCTGTCTCTGTCAAAATAGCTGACCTTGGTAATGCATGCTGGATTGTAAGAGCATACTAATAATATTGATAATCGTGGTAATGAAATTGTTGATCTACTATAGAATCATCATTTTACCGATGACATTCAGACAAGGCAGTATCGCTCTCTTGAAGTGATTATTGGAATTGAATACGGCCCACCTGCTGATATATGGAGTCTGGCTTGTATGGTAAAATTGTTATTAAATGAAATAATATTATTTAATAATTACTCTAATAGACTTTTGAATTATTAACTGGTGACTTTTTATTCGAACCACATTCTGGTGACACATATTCACGTGATGAAGGTAATTAATTTAATAATAAATTATTATTGTTATTATTAATTTTATTTTATTAATAGATCACATTGCTCACATATGCGAGCTATTAGGGACCATACCTCCAACACTAGCTGTCTCTGGTAGATACTCAAGGGAATTCTTCTCTCACTCTGGAAAACTAAAAAGAATACATCACTTAAGACCATGGTAGGCACACACTTGAGGACTGAGAGAACTATGAGATAAAGAGAAGAGAGAGACCATGTACTATAGTACAGGGTCGTTGGCCTGATTTTTGAACAACTTTTAAAATTTGTAAAAAAATCCAATTGTGATCAGAATCCGCTCAAACTTCTACACAACATAAGAGCATGTATGTGTATCAGAAAAAGATATAAAAATGGACAATCCTCTCCTTTTCATTTTCGGTGAAATTTGGCCAAAGACTGTATACTAAAGCACAAGGTATTTGGCCTGATTTTTTAAGCAGCTTTAAAAAATTCACTAAAAAGCGATTTCGATAAGAATCAGCTTAAATTCGATGCACAACATTAGAACACGAGTTAACAAATGTTTGCTGCTATTGTTATTAATGATAGGTCATTGCACGATGTACTGGTTGATAAGTACCACTGGTGTGATGATGAAGCCAAATTGCTGGCATCATTTCTACTGCCAATGCTGAACTACAACCAGAAGGAGAGAGCTACAGCTAAAGAATGCCTGGACCATCCTTGGTTAACACTGTAAATGTATGCATCAATCCAATAATCACTGATTGTTATCTCTTATACTTCCCTCCCTCTCAAAGTCTCCTCTTCAGTAATCATTCACTGTTTTGTGTTGTTGTTGTCATTGTTGTTCATAGTCAATAATAATAATTATTGGTCGATAATAATGCATTACACAAAATAATAATTATAACAGTGACAATAAAACAGCAAATTACTACAAACAAACAAAAAAAGGAAATAAACAATCAACAAGGATATAATATATAATGAAGCTGGTGTGATAATATAGTAGAAATAATGAAAGAGAGAAAGCAAGAGAGAGAGAGGAGAGAAGTGTAGCTCATCGACAGCATTCTATGTATAGTGGCAGTTTGTAAGGAACCATCTTCTCATCATTACTTGATGGAGGGACACTAGCCCACACCATAATCTCTTTACCTAATGGAAGGCAAAGTCATAAAGGGAATGAATTATGTAAGTTAACATAATAGCTGGAGGCCATTAAATAACCAATAACTACATGTATTTCAATAATATTAATAATCATTAATGATTACCAGTGGAGTCTAATCTTTCTGATGGTCTGACACTGTTTGAGTGATACATCCAGAAGTGACCGTTATTGCATGAACGTAGACAAGAGTGACATGGAACGGTTACATGATATCCTACCATGCATCCACTGGAGAAGAAAGAGGAAGGGGAGAGAGAGGGGGAGGGAGGGAGAGAGAGACGGGAGGGAGGGAGGGAGAGAGAGAGAGGGGGGAGAGGCCATGAGGTTAGAGTGAGAGAAGAAAAGAGAGGGAGGTGGGAGGGTGAGAGTGATGACATAACACTACTGTCAGTCATAAAAAGGTATGCATAATGCAAACAGATTCCATGTCAAAATTATTAGCAATTACCTTAAGGGTAAGTGATGGCAAGGTAATAATGATATAAGGACATAATAACCATTAATAATAATAATAATAATGTACGTACATGTATGTATTTATGATGTATAATTGTCTTACCATCCACAACATGCAGTATCTTGTATTTTACACTGACAATTGTTGGTTTGATAATCCGGGCCAACCAGTAATAGCATACTATATAATGAGGAGGTGGTGTAGTAATAGTTTACACAATGGATTATGGAATTCAAATTTCAAAAGAGAGGTCCACCCAAACTCTCCAGATTATCTTATTACAATAATTTGCTATTCATTAGAGTTGTTATTATTATTCATCCTTCACAAAGCATTCCTTCTCCCTCTCCCTCTCTCTCATAAATTCCATTAGATGTACATGTACACACACACACACACAGGCCCAACCCAAGACTATGTATCAGGGTGCTAACTTTATATTAGCCAGACTAATGTACAGCAAGCTTGAGATAGTGTGTGCGTGTTATCTTTACCCTGGGGGAGGTTGATCCGTCGAGTAAAGTTCAACTGTTTTATCTGCTAGGAGAATCGCTCTCATTCCTCTAACGCAGACCAGGTGGTCACAGTAAGAACAGTTTAGCTCATACACAGGCTTTGTCTTGAACGAGGGATGCATATGACAGTCTTGATGTAGCCCAGACATTTACTACTATCCTTTTTTTGCCTCTCTTCACTGAAACGCGTTGTCTTGTCTTTCAATGAAAGAGAGATGGCGAGCTAGGGAGGGGTTATTTATGTGGGCGTAAATACATTCTGATTGGTTAACAATTGCCATAGAAACGCCACGACAACGCATAGCTGAATATAAAACGGTCAATTATAAGTAATAGTGGTTAAAGTTTAAACGGAGAAGTATCTCTTGTAGATATGGCTGGAATCCTTTTGCAACTAATTTATCTATAACTATTAATAATAAAAATTAAAACACAAATACGATTAATAAAATAATACCTTTAATGAGAAGCCTACAGCTGTCATTAAAAGATTGATACATTTTTCTTGTTTGTTGCGTCTCTGCTGGCCTCACTTGCTCAATTAAACAAAAGCAAAACTTTACAATGCAGGACAACATGTTATTAACTATTCCTAGTACAGGGCCTGCTTTAGCAGTTAGCAAACACCTTGAGAGAATGCTAGAAGTATATTCAGAATACACTGTAATTAAATCATCCAAACAGTCGACCTAGAATAGTAATAAAAATTAATTTATTATTATTACTTATTGCATACTTTCTTCATGTTAGATTTTAATTCAATCCAAGATACATGAAACAGTTGGTTTGATAGGTAACTTTCAATGACTGTTAAGAAATGCTGTAACTGTTGCCTAAAGAAGGAAATGAGAGAATGTGTGTGTGTGTATATATTATATAAGTACATGATGCACAAAAATGGCTAACCTTTGCGCATTTAATGTCCTCATATGTTTAACAGTTAATCTATCTCTTTCAGCACCTAAGGAACAACAACACGTATTAATACATTATTATAATATTCTTATCATTATTACTTTTACTAGCTAATTTAATGAAAGATTTCTTTAGTAACCACGAAACTCTCTTAATGTTCAATAGAAAATGAAAAACCTACAGCACATGGACACCATAAACAAAGGAAAGCAAGAGGGAGGATACTTTGTTAAAATTGTCGATGTGTTCCGATGTAATGACAATATTAAGCGGCCAATTAACCTATTTGTAATAAAATTAAAAAAATTCAATTCAACAAAAAATACTTTATAGTCCAATTTAAAATGCTTGAGGTCTAAAAATTAAATAAATAAATAATAATAATTATTAACATAGATACTCACTATCGGTGCTAGTTGCTTGAAGTGGGCATGTCCTAGTTAATAATAAGTTATTAATCATGAGTTCACTATGTTTGTATAATGATGAATCCAAAGCATGATGTAATAATGACATAAGAAATGAATTATTGATCAACGAATCTCCAAACATGAACTACAAGTATGATACATACTAAAAACAGTAACTTAATATTAATAATATTTACTTCTTTAAATAACGGGTTGGTCAAAGTGTCAGCAAATGCTCCATCTTCCAGCATTAAAAAATGTTTAATTAATTTGAAATGATCGATAATCTTTAGTTCGTTGATAAAATAATCAACTAGAGCAGAGTTGATTATGCCAGACCTGAGTAAACAATAAACAAAAACAATAGTAAATAATAACGTACTGCGTTGTTATTGGTAGAGAGATGCATTCCTCTAGTAAAGATGGCAAAGAAAGCAAATAAAAATCATCTTTTTCTTCCTCGCAATCATCATCATCATCACTTGTTAATAATAGTTTATTGAGATCATAATTAGGAACATCTATTAATAGAAAACAGTAAAGCATGGGTTATCTATGCTATGGTACTTTTCAAAAATTGACATAATTTTTAAAATGGCCATGAGTTACATGTAGTTGGAATCAGCTTAAATTTCTTAAAGTCATATATATTAATAATACCTGAAAACTGATAATCCCTATTGCTGTAACTTGAGTAACAATTGAATTCCAAACCTACATGCATTTATTACTATAACTATAACAATTATTAACTATTCTTTACTTTCTTCAATAATTGCACTGCATTCATTTTGCTGACTTGGTAAGGGGGTGTGACCTTTTGTTTCGATATCAATGGGTGGAGTTTCTGAAGGATAAAGAATATCTTGCATAATTGACGAGGGGGCATGGCTCCTTGTTCCGATATCGACAAGCGGAGTTTCTGAAGGATAAAGAATATCTTGCATAACTGACGAGGGGGCATGGCCTCTTGTTCCATTATCAACGGGCGGAGTTTCTAAAGGATAAAGAATATCTTGCATAACTGACAAGGGGGCATGGCCTCTTGTTCCGATATCAACGGGCGGAGTTTCTGAAGGATAAAGAATATCTTGCATAACTGACGAGGGGGCATGGCCTCTTGTTCCGATATCAACGGGCGGAGTTTCTGAAGGATAAAGAATATCTTGCATAACTGACGAGGGGGCATGGCCTCTTGTTCCATTATCAACGGGCAGAGTTTCTGAAGGATAAAGAATATCTTGCATAACTGACAAGGGGGCATGGCCTCTTGTTCCGATATCAACGGGCGGAGTTTCTGAAGGATAAAGAATATCTTGCATAACTGACGAGGGGGCATGGCCCCTTGTTCCAACATGTAAAGTTTCCTCAGGCACCTCATCATTAATTTGTTGAGGGGTGTCGTCTATTTTTGCAAGTTTAGCTTTTTCATCATCATCTCTCATTTCATTTATTAATTGAAGTCTCTCCATTCCAAGGCTAAATCTCTTCTCCCTCCATTTTGACCGCTGCTCTCTCTTCTCTGCTTCTTTACTCAATTCCTCATAATGCTCAAGCATCTCCTCCCTAACAAAATTTGGTCAAAATATTTCTATTGCTAATTTCCTATATTTACTATTACTACATAATTACTGTGGCCATGAAAATTACTTTAAAGATTGTTCCAATTCTTGTGCTTTTACATCAGTCACTAACAAAGCTTCTTCTTCTTCTCTTTTCATTTCTATTAATTCTTGTTTCAACTGCAAAGAAATAAATAAAACAGCAATAATAATTGTCTTTTTTTTAGTTACTGCTTTGGCTTTATCTGCTTGCTCTTTTATTTCTAAAAACAACTCTTTCTTCTTAGACAACTCTTCTCTCTCTTCCCTTTCTTCATTTTCTAAAAATTGATAATAATTAAAAAAATCAACAATAATAAATAAATATTACCCTTTAATTCTCTCATTTTATTTCTTGCTGTTTCTCTAGCTGCTAACAGTGGCTGCAAGGCCTTCAATTTATCTCGCTTTATCTTTTAAAAAACATTAGAAATAATGACAATAAAAACAAGCATACCTTCTCTTCTCTCTCTCTTTTATGCTTCATCAACACTTCTTCCATTTTCTCTTTATAGTTTTGACACTTTATATAAATATCCTTCAGTTGGTTGCTTGATTGAGCCAGCATTAGAGATGGGACTGAACTTAGCTCATTTATAACATCATGCTATTATTCAATCCACTGTAATTGTCATTAATTTCAATTATCAACTCACTTGAGGGCAACATATCTTCAATAGATTGATGGATTTTCCAATATTTAATATCGTATCCTTATAATTAGAAATACAGTCAGGGACACGCCCATCTCTAAAGCTAAACCCTTGCGACCAATAACGATCATCTAACAAAAACAATAACCATTCATTCTCTTACTCTCCCCTCACCTCTTCTCTCTAATACAATGTCATTTTGTTCCAAACCAAATCCCTCAATGCATTGACCCTCATAAACCCAACAGTGTAGAAACCTACATACAGTATGGGAATGGAAATATCACGGTATGGGAATGAACACATGGTAGTATGGAATGCAGGGTTTTCCCACAGGATTTTGGGAGCTTGTGTTTTTTATAAATTTTTAAAGTTGCTAAAAAATATCAGGTCAAAGTCATTGTACATGGTCTTGGGCCAAATTCTGCCAAAATTAAAAAAGGAGAGGATTCTACATTTTTCCCCTGATACATATACATGTACTTATGCTGTTTGAACTGATTATAATCAAAACTGGATTTTTTGATGAATTTTTAAAGTTGCAATGAAGCAAGCTTTTAGCTCACTTAGCATGCTTTCAACCTTGTGGGAAACACTGATGGAATGAGAATAAGAGGTTATGAGAGTGAAATACACACATACATACATACTGTACCTAAAGTATGGTTGCATGGTCTGCCTAAATATTCCAATGATTATATTGTATAAAGGCAGTCCTTGAGATGATACACATTGGGAATATAATGAATCCAATAACAATAATCCCTATTAACAACAAACAATAAGAACAATAAAAACAACTAAAGCAATACTTCATTAGCGTTGGAAGATAACGAGGACTTGACCAAGCTAAAAAGCAATAAATAAATAAATAAGTAAATAAATAAATTAATACTAACTTTAATAAGTATTGCATCGTACTTAATTGTGACTGAATCCAAAATTGAGAAATATCTTTAATAACAATTAACTCATTAATTTATAATGACTAATTAAAAATTACCACGTTCCATCAATTGATTATATTGTAATTGTAAATAATTCAACAAAGAATTAATTGATATATAATGAGACCTAATTATCTCATCTCTCAATATCTAGTATTAATTAATTAATTAATTAACATAATAATAATGAATATTAATTACCTCAACATCAATTTTCCTCTTTTCTGATAAATTAAAGCACTGAGCTAATAAATATTCGTAGTCTTTAATTAATTGAAGTGGGCGTGGTCCACCCACAAATTGATTAGTTTCACCACCAGACACACTCGTTAATTGATTAACAAAATAATTAACAGAGTAATTAAATACAGCATCGTCACTCTCTGACAGATAGCAAAAAGACCTATTAATCAATTATTATCAATAATAATTAAGTAATATTAATAAATTAATTACCTTTCTATTGGCCCCTCCCAGGAGTGAGAAGTGGGCATGTCAGTTAACGAGGTCACATGATCTATTGTCAATTCCTCGTCAGATTCAACTGAAAGAGGAGGAGAAACAGGCAGAACTAGCTTATCATTAGTTGCATATCCCTAAACACATAGAAATGATTATTAATTTAATATCAATAGTACTTTGAGGTAATTAGTTAACGGGTCAGGAGGCGTGGCCTCTTGTGTAAGGAGAGGAACAGAAAGAGATATGTTAACTGAATCAGTTGTAGTGTGAGTGAGACCAGAGAATAATGTAACATCCACAGACTGCAAAGGAGAGAGGGGAGGATGATTACTGTACACCGTGTGCATAATGTCACCTCTTTCATGTAAAATGATGTAGATGGGGTTTCCCTAAAAACCTAATGTAAAATTCAAAATGTATGTACATGTACATGTACGGTCATGTGTACCTCAATACTAGATGGAATAGAAAGAAGAGAAGGTGTCAAAGAGAATCTCGTATCATTACATAACTATTAAAAATTAATTAAGTTGATGATATACGTAAATTTCATGTACCTCTGGTTCTGAACTATGCGATGATAAAGTTGATAAAAATACAAATATTTCGTCAGAGTACGGACATAATGTTTGCAATAATGGTACAGACTCAAATAGACGATCCTTATTATTCTGAGACTGAATATAAAGGACTTGAGAAAGGACATCAGATTCTGGTGACATGTTTCTTTTTGATCGCCCGTCAATTTCTTTAAATAAAATAACATTAAAAGCAATTTTAAAAAGTTCGTCATCAGATATTCCCTTTTTATCGATCAGTTTGTGGGTGAAGGAAGGTAATAGGTTTCTTTTTCCCTTTCTCTTCTCATTTTTGATGCAGAAGCAAAGATCCTTCACCATTTTAATGACACTCATCCCCGCCATTTTATTGCTTCGGAGCATGCGCAGAATAAATCCCGTAATTTTACAAAATCCGCTATACTCCGTAAATTACACGTTATTGAATGGGAGTGGCTTGTAAGCTAATATAGTGGGCGTGTCGATCAGGCACAAACATTAACAGCAATGGCCGACAAGAAGAGCTCGTTTTGGAAGAGAGGGAACGACACAAAGCTACCAGGAAGGTATTTCTGCACTCTCTCTCTTGTATGCCATGATTTCTTTCTATTCTTATCTTAATTCTAGAGCTCAGCCAGTGGCTAACAGCCCTGACCTTAGACCAAGGTCAAAGACATTCGAAGAGTATGAAAAAGACACAAATGACGCGTGGGACGACGAAGCAGAAGACCTATCTCATCTTTCTTCTCCTGTCAAGCCACTAGAGTTCAATCACACGGGCAGTGGAGAATTTGACGTGAAATTCTCAGGAAAGAAAGGTAATTAATTTATTTATTATTATCATTATTATTAAACATACCCATTATCAGCCCCATTAAAGTCCCGTATCAAGGAGGTTGTTAAACCGCGGTCACATACAACAGGAGGTATGTCTACCAGTGGTGGGGGTACAGGCGTACAACACTCAGGATCAGACTCACGTAGGAACGCCCCACAGGACACTGGAAGAAGTAACTACTGATTAGTATTAATTAATTAATTTGCATTTAAAAATATTAATTTTATTTTGCTAGTTCGTTCAATGAGTCCACCATCAGATCCATTTGATGATATTCCTGACAGAGAAACCATCAAATTACAAAAATTTGGTAAATTATTAGCCGGGCCTAACACTGACCTTGGTAAGAGAAAAGGAGGTGGAGAGATTATTAATTAATTTTTTGTTTATTTGTTTGTTATAGAACAACTTAGGAAATTAAGTTGGTCAGGAATCCCTTCATCAGTTAGAGCAACAACATGGCAGCTACTGTGTGTAAGTAACTCACTCCTTTTTTCCTTCCTTCCTCCCCTCTCCTCTCCTCCCCTCCCCTCTCTCTCTCTCTCTCTCTCTCTCTCTCTCTCTCTCTCTCTCTCTCTCTCTCTCTCTCTCTCTCTCTCTCTCTCTCTCTCTCTCTCTCTCTCTCCATATTTCATCTTCTTTCTCCCTCTCTCTCTTTATTACAGGGCTATCTACCAGTTAATATAGATAGGAGGGAAGAAACTCTCCAGCGTAAGAGATCAGAATACCTCAAGCTAATAGACCAGTATTATCACATGAGAGATGACTCCATTCACAAGGACACTTTCAGACAGATACACATTGATGTACCTAGAATGAATCCTTCAATACCGCTCTTCCAACAGTCTATTGTACAAGAAGTAAGTGGCTGTGGCCAAACACTTGGCAGGTGGAGAATGTATAATGATAGCTCTTGTATTTAAATGATAATATTTAAACGACATATTATTGTGTTTTAGTGTTTTGAGAGGATATTGTTTATATGGTCAATGCGTCATCCTGCCAGTGGGTATGTCCAAGGAATCAACGATCTTGTCACTCCTTTCTTCGTTGTCTACCTGTCCTACTACATATGTGAGCCTATGATTAATGACATTATCATGAAATGATAATAACTAATAAACTCTTTTCCTTCAGCTGGTGATAAAAATGCCGAGACCTATGATTTATCGTTATTACCTAATAGCACTCTGAACATGATTGAAGCTGATAGCTTCTGGTGCCTTCAGAAACTACTAGAAGGAATACAAGTTAGCAAATATTATATTAGTGGGTGTGGTCAGTTATTAATTAATTAAACTGGTGGAATAATAATTATTATGAATAATTAATTAATATTGATTGTAATGTAGGATAATTATACGCTAGCTCAGCCTGGTATCCAAACTAAAGTGATGAGGTTAAAAGACATCATGAAAAGAATTGATGGTATGTGGGTTAATTTAGAGTGGGCGGGGTTTCATTTATCAAAACCACGCCCACTGCAGGGTCACTCCATAGTCACCTCGAGAGGAATTCGGTTGATTACTTGCAGTTTGCGTTTCGGTGGATGAATAATTTATTAATGAGAGAGTTCCAGTTGAGATCAGTCATCAGAATATGGGACTCATACCTTGTACGATATTAAAATAATGAATCTTTAATGTATCTCTTTTCCTCCCTCTCTCTCTGCCACCGTCTCTCTCCCTCCCCTCTTTCCCTTCCTCTCTCTCTCTCCCTCTTTTTCTCTAGTCTGAGGCAGATGGGTTTGCTACTCTTCACGTATTTGTGTGTGCAGCATTGTTGCTAAAATTTTCAAGCGAGATTCAATCTAAGAAAGACTTTCAAGTACTAATGATGTCACCATTACTATCTTATTAATCATCATCATTATTATTATTATTATTATTATTATTATTATTATTATTATTATTATTATTATTATTATTATCGGCACTTGCTCTTTTTGTAGGAAATTATGATATTTTTACAAAATCTTCCAACCAGTGCATGGACTGACGATGATGTTCAATTATTACTTGCCGAGTCTTTTAAATTAAAATATATGTTTGCAGATGCTCCTGGCCACTTGCAGAACTGATCCCTCATTTGCTTGCTCTAGTGTGTCATATCTTACTATACTACCTATACAACAGTCCGCAGTGTTATTATTATTATTATTATTACTGTTGTTGTTATTACCATTATTAGTTTTATATTGACAAACAAGCCTCAAAACAGGTGTTTTTAGATATTATTGTTTACATAGATATTATTGTTTACATTTTGTTAATAAACTTAATAATTTCCATGTGTAATCAGTAAAACTCCGTATATCTGGCTCAGGTCCGCCCACTCACTCAGCACTTTCAGGGGCAGAGAGAGAGAGAGAGATGGAGGAAAACAGCACTAATTTTATTGTGATGGGAGCCTCGGTGAGTTATACAGCATATGACAATAATATCATTAATATTTTCTCTTTTTGCGTAGGGGGATCTTGCTAAAAAGAAGATATACCCTACCCTATGGTGAGAAATGATAGTTTTATTATCAAAAACTATATTTAAGTTCTTTCCCTGCAGGAATATTTACAAGTCTGGTGTTCTCCCTCCTGATACGAGGTTCATTGGTTATGCCCGTTCAGCTCTCACTGTTCCTCAGCTGAGAGAGAAGTCTGAACCATATATTAAAGTAAAATTGTTGTTGTTTGTTGTTTTTTTTTAGTTATTGTTGTTTAGGCTAAAGACGACGAGAAGGCTAAGTTGGATTCATTTTTTGCTGCTAATGATTACGTCAAAGGTTCCTATACTGAAGCTGAAGCATTTACTGCTCTCAACGACGCGTTGCTTAAGATAGAAAAAGGAAGAAAAGGGAACAGGCTGTTTTATTTAGCTCTACCTCCTTCCGTTTTTGACTCTGTCACAAAGCTCATTAAAACCCAGTGCATGTCAAAAACGTGAGAAAAAAAAGAAGAGATTTAAAAATAATCTTTACTTTGTTTTTTTTTACTCCTAGTGGTTGGAACAGGATTATTGTTGAGAAGCCGTTTGGTAAAGACAGTGAAAGCTCGGCTAAACTCTCTAAGCACTTGTCTTCTCTTTTCACCGAGGAAGAGATATACAGGATCGATCATTACCTTGGCAAGGAGATGGTTCAGAATCTACTAGTACTGAGGTGGGTTCTGGAACGCAAGTAAATTTAAACATTACCGGAACCCTTGTCGTTATTAGGTTTGCTAATGCAATATTTCAGCCGATTTGGAATAGGGATAATATTGCAAATGTTGTCATTACTTTTAAAGAGCCTTTCGGTACCAAAGGTCGTGGAGGATACTTTGATGAGTTTGGGATCATTCGTGATGTCATGCAGAATCATTTGTTACAGTTAATGTGTCTAACTGCAATGGAGAAACCACCAACCAGTGACCCAGAGGACATCAGAAATGAAAAGGTAGGATAAGTTGTAATCACTCTCTCTGTGATTTTGTGGTTTCTATGCTGATAAGAATCTTATTGAATAGTAATGTTTACTGTTGCATTTATGCTGATAACAAGAGTTACAATGAAAATAGTGATAATATTGTCAGTAAATGAAACATTAGTTTTGTCACTTTCCTGAGCAAAGGTTTAGCACTAATGACACTTATTTTGTGCTAAACGTATGTATTTAAGTGTTATATTTTTTAATGATTTCTCAGGTCAAAGTTTTAAAGGCCATTCGCCCGCTTGAGTTGTCTGATGTGGTACTCGGTCAGTATGCTGGTGATCCTGAGGGAGAAGGAGAGGCAAAGGAAGGTTACCTTGACGACGAGACTGTCCCTAAAGGATCCCGTACACCAACTTATGCTGTTGCTGTACTACGAATCAATAATGAGAGATGGGAGGGAGTTCCATTCATACTGAAATGTGGAAAAGGTATATACATGTAATTAAAATAATAATAATAATAATAATATATTAAATACATTAATGTGTAATGCTTTGATTGCTTACCAAAACCACCAGTCCCTGTAGGAAGTTTTAATTAATTTTAATTTCAATTAAAATAGAACAATGTATGAATTTTTAAAGTTGCTACAAAACTGGGCCAAACTCCCTGTACTATAGTACAGGGTCATTGGCCAAATTTTGCCAAAAATGAAAAGGGGGGAATTCTCCATTTTTACAATTTTTGCTGATGCATATACATGTACTTATGTTGTGTAGAAAGTTTGAGCTGATTCCAATCAAATTTAGATTTTATACAAATTTTTAAACAAATTTGCTCCTTTAATAGTCACATTATTATTATTATTATTATTATTATTATTATTATTATTATTATTATTATTATTATTATTATTTTATTTACAGCTCTGAATGAGAGAAAGGCTGAGATAAGAGTCCAATTCAAAGATGTTCCTGGTGATATATTCCACGGTAAAGCCAAAAGGAATGAGCTAGTCATTAGGGTCCAGCCCAACGAGGCCATGTACACCAAAGTAATGACAAAGAAACCAGGCATGTCTTTTGACCCACTGGAAACTGAATTGGACCTTACATATAAACTAAGATTTAAGGTATTGCATTATTATTGTTAGTTTATTATTCATAAGGATATGTATAATTCATATCCTATTTATATATTATTATTATTATTATTTTATGTATTATATGATTTCTCTCTTTCTAGGACGTATATTTACCAGATGCTTATGAAAGGCTCATTTTGGATGTGTTTGGAGGCAGTCAAATGCATTTTGTAAGGAGGTATGTATTAGTTTCATAATGTACTGTCTATTTTTTAATGTAATTATTACGTGTAGCGATGAATTGGCTGAGGCTTGGCGTATATTCACTCCACTTCTCCACAAAATTGAAGAAGGAAAAGTTTCGCCTATACAATACAAATTTGGAACGTAAGCTACAATAATTGATAAGTAATACTTTGGTTTTTGTTATTTTTTTAGTCGTGGTCCACCTGAAGCTGACAAGTTTATTGAAGAGCTAGGTTTTGTGTACTCGGGTACATACCAGTGGCTTCCATCGCACCAGTGACCATCGTCCATTGAACCAATGCATAACTTTTTGAGTGGTCGATTTTTAATAGAATATCAAGAATAGCTAGTGTCTGTAGTATAGTATTTTCAGTTGAAATAATAATAATAATAAAGGAATAGAATAAATGTTGTTCAATTGTCATATAGTCTTTGTTCAATTGGTGTGCTAAATGCTGTATTTCGTTTAAAAGGACTTGAGCTGTCGACCACTGGAGACACGCCCTTTCAGAAAAAGAGTGGAGAAGATTGTTAATTTTTTGTTAATTGATTGGATTTTATTGTTCTTACTGTGATTGAGTGAATGTTGTGTCGCCAGAAAGTTGCTGAATCATCCTCAAAATTGTGTACCTATGTACATAGAGCATTTAATTTTAACAACTTCATGTAAAAAATTGCTACAAAAGAATCAGTCAGTTTTCTTTATTTCTTGCTACATTTAATATGTAGGAAGCTTGAGCTCGTTTTGATTGCAAAAGTTAGAATACCTGTTCTTTCTCTTGTGGTATGAATCCTGATGCCATAAAGTCCTGTTTTGTTACTGTTTTAAAATCAAAAGGAGGCGGCATGGCTTTGACTATCTCTTCCTCTAGCTCTGATTCTACTAGCTTGTATAGTTCCTTTTTAAGCTTATTCTCTCTCTTCCCTCCTTCTCCTCCTCCTCTTAGCTCTTTAAACTCATCCGAATGAACTGATGGGGTATAGGACACTCCACTAGTAGTAGCAGTCTCCATTGTACTGCTATCAGAATGCACAGATAATAAACCCTAACATGTAATAATAACAGAGGTAGATACACAATGTTCATACTTTATGTCCTACTCTGTGTAGATTAGTGCACAGTGTACCGTCAGGATTCCTGTTCCCTGTCTCTAACGGCTCGCATTGTCTCTATTACATTCATCATTATGTGCTAAACTGATAATGGTAGGTCCTTACCTCTTCTACCCAATTATATATCAGGGTCTTTGGCTTGCTGCTAGCTGCAGCCATTGTTGTTACCCGGTTGCTATTAGAAACAAGCCACACCCTTGGAGCTAAAGGCATAATGCGTGAATATTAACGTAATCTCGTTACTATTAATAGACGATGGGTTCTAAAAATAGAATCATGACCATCCTTCCATAAAAATGAGAAGAGGAATGAGCAAGCATACAAACTGTCATGGCTGAGATAGAGGAAGAGGATTTTATGTATGACTACGAGGAAAGGTATGTCCCTATCATATTATAATGACATTCTCTTCCTCCTCTCTCTCTCTCTCCCCTCTCTCTCCCTCTTAGTGATGATGAGGAAGATGAAGATGAAGAAGGTGATTTTGTGTCTGATGGCCTGTTAAGAGAGGACAGTGTTCCCTCTGGGTCTAAGCTTAAGGCTGAATGGCAGACACTCTCTCCTGATCAATTGTCAAAGAAAATGTTTGAGATAGTTGACGATGTCAATGCTGTATTTCAGGTGAGTTGTAGTTGTGGGTGTGGCTTCCATTAACCACCCCTTATTTAGTTGCCGACACCTCACGTGAGGATCTTATTGACGGCTTGTAAGTGGGACAAAGAGAAACTGATGGAGAGGTGAGATTAATTCTAATTTGAATGAAATTTAGTGAGGGATCTTTAAAAAATGCTAAATTAAACGCTAATCAATACTAAAATTAAGAGAAAATGTTATAACTAGTAGCTCCAAACCCACGATGCATAAAAAATACAAAAATTAATATAATCATTATTATTCTTTATTTTTATTATGTTTTAGATATTATGCTGGTGACCAGGAGGCATTATTTAGAGAAGCTCATTTAATCCACCCAAAGAAACGCAACCCGAACCCAGTCATTGTAGTGAGGGCACAATCAACATCAACTTGTGGAGCAGCTGCCTCCTCAAAGCAAGAGTACATCTGTGACATATGCATGATGTCATATTCAACTGATCACATGATGGGGCTAGAGTGTGGACACTTGTTTTGTAGACCTTGTTGGAATAACTACCTCACAGTAATGGTCATGAGTCAAGGAAGGGCACAGGTGTGTATCCTCGTCTGTTTCTGTTTGCTAGTCTTGTTGTTCTATAGACTTTGTCCTGTCCAGCGACATCTTGTGATATCGTGGTTGATGAAGCTACTGTATTGTAAGCCTCATCAAACATATAAGTATATTATGTTGAAATAATTTGTTGTTGTTTAGGGAGTTGCTGACAGATGGTGAAGTTCGGAAGAAGTATCAGTATCTTATAACTAATTCATTTGTTCAAGATCACCCATTATTAAAGTGGTGTCCTTCACCAGGCTGCTGTAACGCTCTACTGGCTAGTAATAACGTGGAGCATGAGCCAGTTAGCTGCTCTTGTGGGCACTCCTTCTGGTAGGAAGATGATGGATCAATTATTATTATTATTATTATATTTATTTTTTTAGTTTTAAGTGTAGTCGAGATCCACACGAGCCAATATTATGTACAGTAAGTGTGTATTATTGTTATTTACCATTAATTTTATTTATGATTAAATTTTTATAGTATTTATCAAAATGGCTGAAGAAGTGTGATGATGACAGTGAGACCTCAAACTGGATACATGTTAATACCAAAGTATGCCCTCACTCTCTCTCTCTCTCTCTCTCTCTCTCTCTCTCTCTCTCTCTCTCTCTCTCTGTCTCTGTCTCTCTCTCTCTGTGTCTCTGTCTCTGTCTCTCTCTCCATCTCTTTCTAATACTTAAACTCTATTTTTTAACATTATACAAGGAGTGTCCAAAGTGTTCAGCAACCATAGAGAAGAATGGTGGGTGCAATCACATGATATGCTGTAACAACAGCTGCAAGGCCGAGTTCTGCTGGGTGTGTCTGGGACCGTGGGAACCACACGGAACAAGCTGGTTAGTTAGTTAGTTGTTGTTGTTTATTGTTTATCATTCCTGTTGTTGTTATTGTTAGGTATAATTGTAATCGTTATAACGAGTCTGATGCCAAATCAGCCAGGGATGCTCAGATGGGTTCAAGGGCTGCTTTGGAGAGATACTTGTTCTATTGCAATAGATACATGAACCACCTTAGGAGTTCTAAAATGGAAGCTAAAGTTAGTGAAGGGAAAGGAATGGGGAGAGAGAAACCAAGAGAAAGAGAGAGGAAGGATTGAGCTAGGAAGGGAACAAAATTTTAAGCTGTGCACATGTAGATGTACATCATTAGGCCTTACCTTAGTCTTTCTTTGATAGATGCATGTAGCTAACAAATTTAAGGAAATTTTGGTTGTTCAAAGCATTCTTTTCTTTCCTTTAGTTATACGAGATGGTTCATGAAAAAATGAAGGAATTACAGCAGCTGGGAATGTCCTGGGTCGAAATTCAATTTATGAAGAAAGCAGTTGATGTATTGTGCCTCTGCAGACAGACATTGATGTACACGTATGTATTTGCGTATTATCTCAAGAAAAATAATCACATGTTGATATTTGAGGTCAGTCACACGACATTAATGATAATTTTACTTTACTAATATATGAATTTAGGATAATCAAAGTGATTTAGAAATAGCCACCGAATTATTATCAGAGTATCTAGAGAGAGAGATCACAAGTGTCTCGTTAGACCAGTTAAAAATTCAAGTACAAGATAAGAGCAAGTAAGAGATGGAGAGAAAGATATTGCACTGGATCTAATGCATAGAAACAGCCTATTCATGAAACTTGTATTTTGCAGATATTGTGAAGCAAGGAGGAAAGTATTACTGGAGCATGTCTATGAAGGATATGATCAAGACTTTTGGGATTTTACTGAATTATAATTATTATTATAGCACGAGATTTATTAACAAATGACTTTAATGGATGGACATAATATGCAGCCATTATTAACAAATAACTTTAATTCTTATTATTATATCAATTAACACTCATATCATATTGACTATGCTGGTCGCTTCAAACCGTTCCACTGTACTAATGGATGGACATATTTCTCTACTGCAATAACATTCTGTAATTCGGCATTCAACTTAAGGATCACTCCTACTAATATTTGTCATAATTTTAGTAATGAGTCAATTAATCCTTAAAAGGTAATGCTGTTTAGCTTTGAAAAAAACAAACTAAAATACATAAACTACTAAACAATTAAAATAATAGGATCAGAGTTCATCTTTATCAGGAGTCTAGAGAGAGAGAGAGAGATAGAGGGGGGAGAGAGAGAGAGATGATCATAATTTGTAATGAGTGGATTGTTAACATACTTCTGTTGGTGTCTCCTCTTCATCAGTAACTTCCTCAGCTTCTTCTTCATCTGCACCATCTCCTCTCTCATCTAAAGGCTCAAACACTTCCTCCTCAATCTGTAAACAACAACAACAAACAATAAACAACAATAAACAACAACAGTAAACAATCAGACTCACAGCTGCATCAGGTGGTACTCCTATACTAACTCGTAGCATTCTCTCTATTCTACTGGCAAATTCTTTAGAATCATCCACAAAGTACCCGCCCCTCAGTTTCGCAGTGTCTAATAGAATACGGGCTAGGTCCATGGATGCTTCTGAGGTCGAGTCCTCCTGTACTTTACGCTGTAGCTCTTGTATCAATGGATGACGTGGGTTGATCTCAAACGTCTTCTTTTGATTTAAATAAAACCTAAGGAAAGAGAAACACATAAAGCATAATGAAGTAGATTGGGTGTACTAGTTTTAGTATTTTGGCTCCTCAAAAAAAATATCTTTAATATGACACTTTAGCATTTTCACTAAAACTACATTAAGTACTCAATGTGAGTGCTGATTTCAGTGAAAAAGCTAAACTAAAGTAACAATCAAATGAATCGTGTCACTCTTCAATCAAGAGCAGACTTCCCATTATTGCCATTCCCTTACTCTGTGTTAGCATCCTTGCTCTGTGCATAAGCCTGTGCCCTCATAACCCTCTCCATATTACCAGACCAGGCGTGTTGATTAGCAACTAGTGCACACGGTGAAGTAGTCAGCCTGTTACTTACAACAGCTTTCTCAATCTAAATAACAATAACAACAAGAACAACATCATTGTTTGCGTATATACATTATGCTTACAGAATCAGATAGGGCAGTCTCCTTCAGCCATGTTGTTAGTGGCTTGTATTCCTCAACTAGCTTCTCAAACTGTTCCTTGTGAGATTCTCCTTCATCGGCGAATGTGAGTCCTTCCTTAGCAGCATTGTGGAACTTCTTACCTTTAGAATGCAAGAATGAATATCCCCCTCTCTATCTCTCTCCAGGCTTACCCTCATATTCAGTGAGTGCTTCCATACAGTATTCATCCACAGCATCAGTCATGTACAATACTTCATAACCTTTCTTTAACAATCTCTCAACGAAAGGGGAACCTTCCACCTACAAAAAGAAACAAAAATAATATCTCCCATTTATTATAAGAGGAGGGTACATTTACACTGCTAAAACAAAACAATAGTGATTATAATAACTATGTGTGTAATGTGTCTATATGTACATGTACATACTTGTTTTTTGGTTTCTCCTGCCATGTAGTAAATGTGTTCCTGCTTGTCTTTCATTCTCTCTATGTACTCGTCCAGACTGGTTAGTTTATCAGGGTCGTTTGATGAAGTGAATCTCAGTAGCTTGGCAACACGGCTCTTATTTGAGAAGTCCTCGACGACGCCAAGTTTAATGTGAGTGCTATAATTAGACCAGAACTTCTCGTAGGTCTCCTCGTCCATTTTCTTTAACATGTCGAGAGCTTTTCGTACGAGCTTCTTCTTTATGATTTTCAAGAGCTTGTGTTGTTGTAGAGTTTCACGAGAGACATTCAATGGCAGGTCATCAGAATCAACCTGAAAGAAGAGATACATCAAACCTATCAGATTATTATGATTTTCAGTAGCTTACAACTCCAAATACAAATCCAAGGTAACGTGGCATGAGGTCCTCAAAATTGTCGGTAATGAAGACACGCCTCACATACACTTTGATCTTATCAGACGCCTTGGCATACTTAGTGAACAAATCATTAGATGGAGTCTAAAAGAATACGTATTACTATAACATTATTATTATTATTATTATTATTAATACTTACAGCTGGGACGAACAGTATTGCTCTGAAGGTAACTTCACCTTCAGCAGTGAAATGTATTTTAGCCAATGGAGCCTCAGAGTTCTAACAAGAACAACTTGAAGAGGAATAGCTACAGGAGCAAGAATTACCTTAGTGAATGCTTTGTAAAATGCTTCATATTCTTCATTTTCAATATCCTTAGGACTGAGAGGTGAGCATTAAATAGAAACACAAGCATAAATATAGCAACATACCTCCTCAACCAGATGGGCTTAGAATCATTCACAATGTCCCAATCCCAGACTGTTTTATCAACCTATTAATGTGGGTGTGGTTAAAGCTAATGAATAAATAATTAGCTAGATACCTTCTTTGTCTTAGGCTTGTCTCCTTCATCTTCAACAGTAGCTTCATCATCATCATCAGACTTATCCTCAGTATCGTCATCTACTGGCTCTTCTACACTTTCAGTCTGTAAATAACAACAACAAACAATAATAACAACAACAACAACAAAAGAACAATTATTTTATTTTTCATATTTCATAATAATAATAGTTAATATGTGTCATCTGACAGGATCCAATTAATCTCATTATTCAGTGATAACTGGGTTTTAAGATGATCATTAATATTGACCTAATTATCATTAAAATCATTTACTAAAAACAATAAAATGATTTTATACATTAATTAGGTCCACAGTATAGTAGTACCGGGTATTTTATTTTTTTAACAATTGAAAAAAATCCAATTTTGATGGGCCCAAACTTTCTAGATAATATAGTTCCCCTTATTTCTTACCCTGCTGGTCCAAAGGTATATAGGGAAGTTGATGAATTGACTGTATTTCTGTACTAATCCTTTTAGCTTCTCGTCTCCCAAGAACTCCTGAGCCTCTTCCTTAAAGAACAGTGATACTGTAGTCCCTCGCTTCAGTGTGTCTCCCCTGGGGTCCTCAACAATTGAGAATGAAGCAGAATCAGACTCCCATATATACTGCTTATCATCGTTGTGTTTTGATGTTACAACAACACGATCGGCGACTAATTAATAAATATTAATTAATTTATTAATATTAGCCACACCCATTATACCTAAGAATGACGAGTAGAATCCGACACCAAACTGTCCAATCAAATCATTCGCAGCACTTGCCGATTCAGCAGCAGTTATCTTCTCAAGGAATTCCGTAGTTCCTGATTTGGCAATCGTACCAAGGTTAGTCTCCAGATCCTGCCTAGTCATGCCTACAGCAGAGAAAATTAAAGTAATTTAGTATCATAAAAGCAACAGCCATCTTGAAAAATCAAATATTTTCTAGCCTAAATTGGGTAGTTTTCATAACTGCTTAGCTATTAATATCCAAAGAAAATAGCCACGTTTATAAATTTGGTATGCCCTTCCTAGCTATGTAAAAGCCAACATACACGTATCACTCAAAATCTTACACCCAATTTATAGTATTACAATAAAATAACTTCTCTCTCTTACCAATGCCAGTATCAGTGATGTGCAGTGCATTGTTCTCCTTGTCTGCTCTTATTTTGATTGTTAGTTCCTCAACTGCACTCAAAGCCGATTTATCAGTTAGGGATATAAACCTGATCTTATCTAATGCATCAGAAGCATTTGATATCAACTCTCGAAGAAATATCTAAGAGAAAGAAAGAGGGGGAGGGGAGACAGAGAGAGAAAAGAGAGAGTGAGGGTGGGAAGAGGGAGAGGTGAAAGGAAGAGAAGGCAGCAAGAAATAAGAGAAGATAAAGTATAAAGTGTGATGATGATAATCCATAGTAACAGGATATCACGTGACACATTATAAGCAGCTGTTTCTGACTGCCACACTCATCATAAATACACAGAGTGGGCGTAATAAATAACAGTTATATTTATGTTGAAATCGAAACTTCAATGAAAGTGAAACTGGACGAAACCAACAAAAACAATTATTGAACAAATCAAAAACAGCTGCATTCATTCATTCATTCGCTTGTTAATTATTCATTACCTCTTTATTGCGATATAACGAGTTGATAATTAATTTCATCATCCGGTTCACTTCTGCTTGGAAGGTGAACTTCTCTGCTTTGTCCCTCAATTCCTTCATCTCGGCCACACTTAATCCATCGAGCTTAATGGCTTCCTCCTCCCTAAAATAATTATAAATTAACACATTTTAACACATTAGAATAATACAAGATAATTTACAAGCCCCTCCCAAATTGAGCTGCAAAAAGTGGAGGTGTGGCTGGACTGCATATTATTAGTTGCTTCGCTTACTTTTGGATAGTCTCGTCGTCAGTTTTAAGAGCATCACGACTAGCCCCAATATCAGGATCTACTGTTGGGGGAGTATCAGTACCAGCATATTCCTCTTCTTCCTCTTGACAATGAACTATCCCTAGAGAGGGAGAGGAGAGAGAGAGAGAGGAGAGAAAGAATAATAAAAAATGAGATAAATCAGATGATAGCAGAAGGCAAAGCATAAAGAGTTATATAGCAAGGTTCCATTACCTGTGAAGCAGGTCAAAGAAAGCAAGACTAAGATAAAATATATTTTCTTCATGCCTATCCTATCTATCTCTTCTTCCCCTTCAAGTTTTTCTTATTTTTTTTCTAAAACGAGGCTACTTAAAAACTCCCTCCCCTTTAGTCTCCACTTAATAATTCCACCAGGAGGCACCTGCGTGTTGCAATCTGATTGGTCACTTGTCTCCCGCCTAGAAATCCGTGGACCATTTTGATTGGCTGCTGTCATTATCAGCTGGAAACCGCAGGCCACGCCTAGTCCAGCCCCACCCATGCCCATCTCAGTCAAATAGTGTAATATGGGGGAAAGATTATTCTCTTTATTTTTAATTTTTATTATTTTATTTTCGTCTCTAAGAGAAGGAGGAGAGGCAAAGAAAAGAGAAGGCTCTTCTCATAAAGGAAATTGTGAAATTTGTAATAAATTCGTGGAAAACTTTGAACATGTAGGAAAAAGATTTTAAGGAAATAGAAGTTTCACCCTCTCTCTTTTTTTATTTCTCTAGGGTTTGAAAGATACTGAAAATAATTCATTTGCAGGTGGAGACACAAGCTGGGAGGAAGAAAATAAAAAAATATATTCGAAAAGGTATGGTAGTAATAATTAAAATTAATTATTAAAAATCAATTAATTAATCAGCGAGTTGAGACTGGTTGAAATCATGGATGGGGTGTGCTCAACTAATGATTATCAGGTGAGGTACTATTTTATGGTTGCTATGGTAAAGCGTTCTTTAGTGTAGTAGATTTGTTGAGACATACGAAGAGGATATTGAGAGATGGTGGCTAAAACTGTGAGTTAATTAAAGGGTGGGGCTTGTTTCTAATTAATTAATTAATATAATTAGTAAAGAAAATGGTCATCCTGATCTGAGGGAATGGCTGTGTTACACTCATGCTGATGGTTTGTCTATTATATTAATTTTATTTTTATTTATTTTATTATTGTTTTTTTTGTTTAGTTTGTTGTCCTCCTGGTACTTATGGCCCAGAATGTTCTGGTAAGAAAGAGGACAGGGAGGGTTTTCCTACTGCTCAGCCTTTGTCAATGAGTTTTTACAATTGCTCAAAAATCTGATCAAAGTCCCTGTACTGTAATAGTACATTGTCTCAGGCCAAATTTTGCCAAAATTGAAAAGGAGAGAATTCTCCATTTATATATTTTTTTTCTGATGCATATACATGTTTATATGCTGCGTAGAAAGTTTGAACTGATTCCGATCAAAATTGGATTTTTTTACGAATTTTCAAAATTACTCTAAAATTGAGCCAAAGTCCCTGTACTATAGTACATGGTCTCGGGCCAAATTTCGCCAAAATTGAAAAGGAGAGAATTCTCTTTTTTTATATTTTTTCCTGATGCATATACATGTACTTATGTTGTGTAGAAAGTTTGAACTGATTCTGATCAAAATTGGATTTTTTATGAATTTTCAAAATTACTCCAAAATTGAGCCAAAGTCCCTGTACTATAGTGCATGATCTCGGGCCAAATTTTGCCAAAATTGAAAAGGAGAGAATTCTCCATTTTTTTCCTGATGCGTATACATGTACTTATACTGTGTAGAAAGTTTGAACTGATTGTGATCAAAATTAGATTTTTTATGAATTTTTAAAGTTGCTTCAAAAGCTGTGTTTTATCATCATAATACTTATCAGCTCATGAAGCCTGGTTTTTAGCTCACTAAAGCATGTGTTGGGGAAAGCCCTAGATGGAGTGAGGGAGAGAATTATTTTAAAATATTTTTAGAGTGCCCTGGAGGAAAAGATAACCCATGCAATGGCCATGGTACATGTAAAGTAAGACAATTATGAAAAAAATTTTGGATCACATTTTTCTCTCTAAGGGAGAAGGAGAGAAAGATTTGAGAAAAGGATCCGGTACATGTGCATGTAACAGCGGTTACCATGGCAGCTTTTGTGACTCCTGTAAGCCGGGATATTACCTGGAGGATGATGGAAAGAACTGCAGAAGTAAGCAAATATATATTTATTATTATCATTTTATTTTTACTATCATTGTTTTTACTATAGGGTGTCACAGGGCTTGTTTGAAGACGTGCAATGGATCTGGACCTGATTCTTGTGATGAATGTGCCAAAGGATACAAGAGAGATGAAGAGGGAGGAGATTGTGAAGGTAGCATTAATCAATAAAGTATTTGTGATTCTAACCTTCCTCTCCCATCAGATATCAATGAGTGTGATGATGATGATGATGATGATGATGATGATGATGATGATGATGATGATGATGATGATGATGAATCAACTACTGCTTATTGTAAAGGTGGAACTTACTGTGTGAATAAACCAGGAACTTATGAATGTGAAAGTAATAATAGTTATAGTATTAATCATTAATAACGTGTACTTTCTATCTTTCCTTGCTTTCTCTCTTGTTCAGAGTGTGATAGATCTTGCAAGCATTCATGCACTGGCCCTGGGCATGGCTCATGTGTTGACTGTGCCAGTGGATACAGGAATGAATCAGGAAACTGTCAAGGTATTGCATTAATGATAGATAAACTCATCATCACTTTCTTCTCCTGCAGACATAAATGAGTGTGTTGAAGGAATGGCCAAGTGTAAAGATGGAACTTATTGTGATAATAATTTGGGAAGCTTTCTTTGTAAAGGTATGCTGGACCTTTATATCAGTTCTTTGTAACTTCCTGTTATTGTACAGATTGTGATAGTGTGTGTGATGGATTATGTACAGGAGAAGGACCAGGTGGCTGTGTCTCTTGTAAGGACGGATATAAAATGGAGGAGGGAAGATGTGAAGGTTTGTTTGTACTTTTATAAGTCCTCTCCTCTCTCACTGGAGGAATGCATGACTGTATCTTTGAGGTTTACTCTTCCTAGCAGCTGCCCATTAACTGCTGTATAGCGTTTGAAGTCACTGTCAAACTATTTGAATTATTTATTTGTAGATGTGAATGAGTGCAAGGTCTCCTCTCCATGTGACGAAGACTCAGAGAATTGCATAAACATGCCTGGCAGCTACAGCTGCAAGTGTAAAGCTGGTTACACTAGATTCAGAGGAGACTGTGTTTTATGGGAAGATGCAGACAGACTTAGAAATCAAGACATACCACCGGCTAACACTAACAAAAAGAATAAAAAGAAACCTGTTAAATCCAAACCCCAAGTAGAGGAAGGTGAGAGAGATCGTGAAAGACTTGAGAGGGTCAATTTCCCGTGGTATCACCTACTGCTGCCAACAGCGATATGGTATCTAGGGTACAAGTACGTGAGGCCTACCCTAGCAACCACTGTTGGCATGGCTTTTGGAATGTCAGCCATTTATATGTTAGGGAATATGTTTGACAGTCACTCTTAGTTGATTACATGATTAATTAGTGTGTCATTTTTATTAATCAAGTATAATCTCATTTTATTATTAATGATTGATTTCACTGTGATTTTATGATATTCGTATTGATGTCTATTTTGTTCTAAATATAGAAAGTTTGAGCTGATTCCAACTGAAATTTTTGCCATTTTTTAAAAGTTATAGCATTCTAATGATACACCATATAGGAAAATCAATTTTTATTATTTATTTGCAGGAGCTGATTACGAAAAAGCTGATACCACACCCACTGATGGATCTATTAATAGTAACAATGAGGAATCTATTGTGACTGATTCCCAAGCTTCAGCCACTCCCCCTGATGCACGTGAAGAATTATGAGCAGCTCAGATTTCGGTTTTAGGAAGCAATATTTTTGTAATTAACTATTTATTTATTACAAATACAATAACTGCTGTAACAATATTAATCTGAAGTCCATATGATATATTAATAATGATTTTACTGCAAAATAAAGTGGACACTTGTCGTTTTCATTTCAGTAAAATATAGTTATGGTTTTATGAATCGGGCATGGGCTGCCATGGTCTTTAGCATACTTCCAGAAGAAATGATCAATTGTACAAGAAGGCATTGACTGCCTCTCCTCCATTGATAGGCTTTTACCAGTTCCTGGTATTACCAATGACGGTGATGATAAAGAGCGACGAATCAACTAATAAATATAAAAAATAATTATTGAAGAAATTTTTTATTTATTTTTACTTCAATTGCTTGAACAGTGCAACCTCTAATCTCTACTTCCTCTTCACAGCCAGCTGGTAAATGCTCACCTTTAAATTTATTTAGTCATTTATTACAGTGTTATTAAATATCATACCTCTATCTAGCTTTGCTCTCAGCTCTGCACTATATCTCAATGCACCAATTTTCAATAATATTTGTGGAACACTATAAAAAATAATGGACAATTTTTTTAAAATTTGCAAAAAAATCCAATTTTGATCGGAATTAGGCGAAACTTTCTACAAAACACAAGTACATGTATACGTATCAGGAAAATATATAAAAATAAAGAAATTTCTCTTTTACAATTTTGGCAAAATTTGGCCTGAGACCATGTACTACAGTACAGGGACTTTGAACAGATTTTTGAGCAACTTTTAAAATTCATAAAAAAATTCAATTTTGATCGGAATCAGGCCAAACTTTCTACACAGCATAAGTACATGTATATGTATCAAAAAATATATAATAATTAAGAAATTTCTCTTTTACAATTTTGGCAAAATTTGGCCTGAGACCATGTGCTACAGTACAGGGACTTTGAACAGATTTTTGAGCAACTTTAAAAAATTATTTAAAAATCCAATTTTGATTAGATTCAACTAACTTTCTACACAACATAAGTACATGTATATGTACGTGTATATGCATCAGAAAATGTAATAAAAATGTTGAATAACCTTGCACTATAGCACAAGAAAATTTTAACCAAAACTAGCTGCATGCATCATTATGATATGCACTTGGTTGATATCATGGAATAAAGTATTCTACACGTGTGTTACAATTATACATGTAATAGTCTTTCTCTCCCCTGCTTTACCGATAATCAGGGAACATCGTTAGTGTTTTGATATCATGAAATTCTCCATATCCTTTTCCTTTGAAGTAAGACTTCACATAGGACACAAATATCTGTGCTCTTTTTAAGAAAAACACTAAAAAACAATACTAACAGCAGTAATGATGATAATAGCATTACCTTCTTTTCCTTTGTAAGTACTTTTATCATTATAATTTTCAAAATTATCTTTTAAAATGTGAACAAGTTTTTGAGCACTTTTCTCAGCTAAATTGACCAACTTTACAACACTGCCATCAAATTTCTATAATAAAATGACAATAATTATTATTATTATAAAGATTAATTTCTCACTTCATTCAGTACACGTGAGCATTCATGCAAATTCTGTAGTCTTTCTTCAATCATTGGTATTTCAGTATTATTGCATGAAGAGAATATTTCCCTTAATTCTTCCAGTGTCATTTTACCATACACAGCTGGATCGTAAATCCTAACACCTTTCTAAAATAATATTTTTAAAAATATTAAATAATAAGTTTAATTACTATTTTAACTGCTCTGTACAGTGATGCTATTAACGACAAGTATCCAGTGTATGTGTTGCCTTCAACTTCAACTGTGAATAGCTCATCGTCTGACCAGAAACAAAAGTTTAATGAAGACACAAGAAAAATCCTACAAGAGGCAAATAAATTAATAAATGAACGCTTAAAATAAAAGATACCATTCTAGCAATTCTTTGTCTGTATCAACAGGTGGTTTTAACGTATCTGCTACTTCATTTGGATTTAATTGCTTCCAATTATTAATCAAATTAATTAACTATTTTGATGATAGAATAAACCATTCTATAAATACAGTATACTCTTCAATCAAACATTATTGTATTACTATTTGTGCTCCTTTCTTTACGCCCTCCTCGCAAATCGTCACATGTTTGGAGTTTGATGATATAAATTGAGCAGATGACAATACCAGGCCACATCTTGAAGAATCCATTATCATGGATAATAAAGACCTTTCCAGCCACGCCTAGATCTAGATTACGGTAGATCTATAAAGTGCGTGAGTGGTAAATTAAGGTACTGGTTGGTGCTTAGGCGGTAGCTCGTAGTCGTAGTGCATGCATGCATATGCACACTGCCCAGTGCCCACCCCCAGCAGGAAAGAGAACTAGAATTGTCAATCATGGCTGCTGCTGCTGCTGGCAAGTTGCCTGACCTTAGCGGTACGTATAAATGGGAGAAGCTCCCCGAGTTACCAACAGGACGAGTATACGCAGTAGGTGGATATCACGACGGAAAACTGTACGTTTTAGGTAGGTATCATACATAATATAGAGTTGCTGCCCTTTTTACTAAAAATAATTAATTAATTATAGGAGGGTGTGATGGTGTAGGCAAAGCCCTGAGCGTAGCTGAGGTTTACTCGTTTGCTACAAAAACCTGGCATCAGCTGCCAAACATGCCAACACGCCGTGCTGCCTGTACTACAGTAATATTCCACGAGAATAAACTGATACTAGTTGGTGGAGTCGACGAGAACCAGACCCCAATAGCAGCTGTTGACTGCTTCAATATCGACAGCGAGACCTGGTCACAGCTCCCACCGCTCCCTGTAGGAGTAACCGGCCCATTCGTAACGAAGATTGATAATAAGATATACTGTATCGGAGGAACAGACAAGAAAGGGATCAACCAGTCAGTATCTTTTGATTTCGATCTCAACGAGTGGAAGGACATGCCACCTCTAAAGACGAGGCGGTATGCTTGTGGTGGATACGTTCACAATAACAAGATATACATAGTCGGAGGAAGGGAAGTTAAAGAGCCAATCAAGTCAACAGAGGTTTTTGACTTGGAGACTCAAGAATGGACTGAGCTAGCTTCTATGCTCTCTCTGAGGGTTTTCTACAATGTCATGGGTCATAAAGATTTCATTTACGTTGTGGGCGGGTTTGTTCCAATGGTTGGACTAAGCAAGATAGTGGAGAGATACGACATAAAGAAAAACGAGTGGGAACGACTCAAAGACTTGAGAGTCCCTCAGTCCGATGGTTCTATAGGTGTCGTTGGAGATAGAGTTGTTTTTGCAGCTGGCCTTGGGATAGTTGCTGGAGCGAAACCACAGGACGGTCCTTCTTGTCTTAATTATGCGTATGGTCTTACTGATGGCTCTGATACTTTTGAGCGACTCCCTAACATGAGATCTAAACGTGCTTCGACTGCTACCGCTCTGTTTGATGACAAGATGGCCGTCATTTGTGGCGCTGGACAAGGAGGGCCCCAGAAAATAGTTGAAATTTTGAGCTGCAACAAAGAAAAGTGAAAGGAATAGCAAGAAGAGATTAACTTTGTTTATTTTATTTGATTTGCATCGTCACTATTTCTATTTGAAATGTAATGATTATTATTAAAAATTTTGATAGCAAATGAAACTATAATTATAATGACAGCAATCAATGCATTTGACAACTACTTAGACAAATATACTGTAATCAATACAAGTATAACACCTATCAATTGTTAGTTAGAAATATGTACACACATTAAACATCAGCCTTTGAACCATTGATAGCTTCATATACAGGGTCGTTGACAATCTGTGATGTCTCTAATTTATCGTAAGCCGAGAACATTTCTGGTCCGATTGATTCTGGTAGGGTATCATAAGGATTGAATGGATTAGTGGTATCATCATCATCAATCTGAGGGGGAGGAGGAGGAAGAGGAGGGAAGGACATTGAGGTCTCGTAAATGTGTTCATTGTCTTCAGCTGTAGTATTTTCAGTAGTGTATAGAGGATTATCAATGTGCTTGATGTCAGGGCTATCATCAGCATGAGATGATTTTGAGGTATTGCGTCTAATGGAATCACGCAGAGTCCTGTCACTGTAAATAGCAGCATCTTCATTGACATACATTGGATTGTATATCTGATGTGCGTTTGAATCTTTGAATGGATTAACAGCATTTACTCTTGCAAGACGAGTGCGGTTCCTCCATGGCACATAAACCCTAAAATAAAACAATTTAAAATACAGTATAATGTATGCTTCATATGATGTACCTTTGATATACAATGATGGCTATGATAAATACTGCAGCTGTTAAAATGACTGAAGCTGTTGCTATCACAGCAATCGGAACAATGCTGTTTGAATTATCTAATGAAAATTTTAAAAGTAAAAGACAACCTAAAAAATCGCTTACCATTTTCATTGACAGCTGCAGCTCCAGTGGGCAAAGGAATTCGAATAAGAGTCTGACAGAATCTACCAGTGTAAGCTGATGGACAGTAACAGACAGTAGCTCCTTCAACAAGTGCACATGTACCACCATTAGAACATGTATCATCTCTACAACGATTGTTATCATCATTATCATCATCATCATCGTCGTCGTCGTTGTCATCGTTGTCATCATCATCATTAGTAGTGATTTCCTCGCAGCATCTCTCCCCAGTATAACCTTTAGGACAGACACTACACTTAACTGTATACGACTCATCAACTTCACATCTGGCACCGTTACAGCAAGGATTAGGATCGCAATAATTGATATCTTCACAACAGGTTGAACCAGTTTTACCAGCTGGACAGGTACATTTGTATGTTAAAAGTTCATTATCACTTCTACAGGTAGCATCACCACAGCAAGGACTGCTGGCACAATAATCAAAATCTTCACAACAGGCTAAACCAGTTTTACCAGCTGGACAGGTACATTCGTATGTTAAAAGTTCATTATCACTTCTACAGGTAGCATCACCACAGCAAGGACTGCCAGCACAATAATCGATATCTTCACAACAGGTTGAACCAGTTTTACCAGCTGGACAGGTACATTCGTATGTTAAAAGTTCATTATCACTTCTACAGGTAGCATCACCACAGCAAGGACTGCCAGCACAATAATCGATATCTTCACAACAGGCTAAACCAGTTTTACCAGCTGGACAGGTACATTCGTATGTTAAAAGTTCATTATCACTTCTACAGGTAGCATCACCACAGCAAGGACTGCCAGCACAATAATCGATATCTTCACAACAGGTTGAACCAGTTTTACCAGCTGGACAGGTACATTCGTATGTTAAAAGTTCATTATCACTTCTACAGGTAGCACCACCACAGCAAGGACTACCAGCACAATAATCGATATCTTCACAACAGGTTGAACCAGTTTTACCAGCTGGACAAGTACATTCGTAAGTTAAAAGTGTATTATCACTTCTACAGGTGGCATCACCACAGCAAGGACTGCTGGCACAATAATCGATATCTTCACAACAGGTTGAACCAGTTTTACCAGCTGGACAAGTACATTCGTAAGTTAAAAGTGCATTATCACTTCTACAGGTAGCATCACCACAGCAAGGACTACCAGCACAATAATCGATATCTTCACAACAGGTTGAACCAGTTTTACCAGCTGGACAGGTACATTGATATGAATTACCATTATTGGAACAGGTAGCGTTACCACAGCAAGGACTACCAGCACAATAATCGATATCATCACAACAGGTTGAACCAGTTTTACCAGCTGGACAGGTACATTGATATGTATTACCATTATTGGAACAGGTAGCATCACCACAGCAAGGACTACCAGCACAGTAATCTATATTATCGTGACAGGTCAGACCAGTTTTACCAGCTGGACAAGTACATTGATATGATGATCCATCTATAGTACAAGTAGCATCTTCATGGCATGGACTACTAGCACAAGGATCATTAGATACAGTACAGAGGTCTCCAGTGTAACCATCAGGACAGGAACAAGCACAGCTCCCGATTCCTTTGTCTACCCACATCCCTCCATTCCTACACGGATTACCATAAGAGCAATTACCTATTAAAGCACATAAACAGTTATCATATTATTGTTAGAAATAAGCTGACTTGTTGTGTTTGTGAGTCTAAAAAGGACACAGAATTTCTTATTTCCCTGACATGTGACAGTCATATTGATAACTTCATTCATTATACTGTCCCAGTGTGCAGAATTGGTTAAATCTGTTGGCTCAAGGTTTCTTCCTTGAACTCTATTAATTATTAATAAGAAATGCAATGAATATGAGAACATAATTATTTATCTTAACTTGTTTTGTGTCGCATAAATGAGGTTTGTGTTTGGTAATGGTTGCATTGAGCAAGTGTTGCTGCTATTCTGATAAAAGTAAAGATTGCTCGAATCTGCATTGCATCCAGTAACATCTAAGGACAGTATAGTGTAATTACTATGCATGTATTATAATATTATTGCTACATACCAGTTCCAGATTTTTGTAGAGTGTTAACTGCATAATGAATAGGAGCATCACTTGTTGTTGGTCTGGGAAACTCAGGAATGTCTGCAATTTTAAAATAATAAAAATGTAACACTACATGACCAAATGTACCTAAATACCCAAGATACTTGAAGTTACCTTCACATGTAAAACATGTATTGTCTAAATTATTAGAATTAGTAATAAAATTGTTTCTCATAGTACTTTTAGTCTTTTACACATGACATACTTATCAAAGCCTCAGTCTTCCCTTGTATTTTGAAGTACATTTTCTTTTTGCTGCTGCCACATTTTAGCCTCATATAAATCAGTTTTCCCTGCAAGTTGTTTGGCTGAATCTTCAAAGATCCCGGAGATATCTACTCAAAATTGAACAAGTAATAAATAAGCAACCCCTCATTATTATCAATTATTATTATGACGCACTTAATAACATAATTTCAGTGAAACCTGACAGAGGAAATCAAAGATTTTATAAGCAGCAATTTACTGCATTGTGATAAAAAGGAGTGTCATAGCTGTCAAGGTCATTCAGATGTGATAGCTAGACTATATTAGACAATGCTAAATCTTGATAAGGTAAGACAGTTGTGACACATCTTCCTATCACTATGTTGATTACTGCTACTACAGCATTACATGCATGTGTACAATAGTGATGCAATAATTATTATACCTCAAGATATCGCTTGCTGTCATCACCGTCCACGATTGCAAATCCGTCCTTTTCAATCTCAACCAAACCATCTTGAGTCATTACGTATAATTCATACACAGCACAGTTACTGGGTAGGTTATCACCGGTGCTGGCCTTTACAATGTGCAGCTGAGCTCCAGCAGCTACAGACTGCAGCTCATATTTACCATTGCTGTTCAGCACAAAATACACTGTACTGATCTTAGTATCAACCTCTAGATCATCTCTTGCAAACATGTAAAACCCATCTATATATTATTGATTAAAATAGTGTTAATCGCATTTATTATATACCATTGATGTTCTTGCAAGCTCCATGACTATCTTTCCAAGTGTCTTGCTGTGTCTTGCATTTACACATTCTGCAGTTCTCTCCAAAGCATAGAGCTGAATGATTGCTGCAGTTGTAGTTGACAGTGTCTATCTGTGGTATGAAGTAGTCTCCATCATCAGCCCTTATGACAATCCCCTTGTTTCCTTGACTGATGGCTTCACATGCACTCCCAGTACATGTGCTGTAGCATACATCAACTATAACAAAATAGGTACATTAAATAACAATGTAGAGTAGCTTACCAGTGAAAAGTAGAGTTAAAACTAAGAGGATCAGCTTCAACATTTTGATTGATTTTTGATCAGTGTTGAACTGTTGATACTGCATTGTGTTTTTATAGACTGGGGGAAGGGCATTCTGCATGACGTCATACACAAGCTAACAAGAATGAATAATCTCAGAATACGCCTGCAGCCTTCGATCAAGTATCTTCAGTGCTATCTAAATTATTTTTGTAGTACTCTACAATCACACATGAATGGTTTGTTGAATCTGATTATGGAAGACGGTTCAATAAGCAAAGAGTGATTTGATGAGAAGAATCACAAACATAGAAAGCAAAACTATAGGCTCCATTATCATGAATTAATATCTATATAGTTAGTCAATCTAATATGTATACACATATCCATACATACATACATAATATGCATACATAGATACACATATACACTTGTACATGCATACATAAGGCTTAGTGTCTATTTATAGCTGTTGTTTAAGTGTCGTACATGATCTAATTACAGTACTACATTAAGGATTCTGTGACTGGGAGCCATGTATGTCAAAGTATATCTACTGACTGAGCACATTTAAAATGACAAAATTTTAGAGCACCATTTTAATTTAATTTTGAGTAAATTTATACTGGATGGTGTGAGGGAGGATATCATTCCATGAATAACGGATTCTACTCAGATTATGGTTGAGTGAAGGTTAGTAGTAATAAGTGGTTCATTGAAAAAACAAATAAAAATAATTATTAATGTACGGAAAGAATGGAGTTAGGAAAGTTACTTTGATAGGTACAAAAAGTATAATAATATTCACACTTTACAGGAACAAAGTTATAACTGAAACAAAGAGGAAATATTGATGATTTTCTTAATCTTTCAATGATTGTGTCATTAGAAAAATACATCTCACCAGAACTTGCTTGAACCTGCTGTGTAATGGTAGTACTATTAAAATCTCCTGTAGCAATTGGGGTAACACTACCAAATGATGATACTATTATATGAGTCTGAAAGATAATGGTAAGTTACTATAAAATAGAATAAAACTCACTGTATTAGCATATGGTATATGTGCTAGCTGACAGGTTTGGAGATTAAAAAGAGACTGTACAACAATATTACATGCTATATTGCTAACAACACAGTCATTATTATTGATAGTTATTGATGATGTTAGGTTTAATCCAGTTAGTGTAGGCATTCTTGGTTTATTAGACTCAGGTATCAATGACTGTAATGATTCATTAATAATTTTAATCTGATACATATAATCATTGAGCTGCTTCAGTACACCACTGGTTGACATATTCTAATCAAATAATAATAATAATAATAGAGTACAATTATTGAACTTACTTTATCTTGCATCAGTTTATTTATCTCTTCACTTATAAATGATATTGACTCTCTTATAGCCTATGGAGTGACATATACACCCATTACACAGCATGTGACATAACCCATTAGTGTGTGACATATATGCCCATTATTAGACAACATGTGACATCAACATATACTACCCATTACACAGTGTGTGACATTACCATCCCAGTGTATGCATTACTTACTGTTAAACTTGAAGTGTTTATATCTACATAGAATGTATACATATTACAATAAATAAACACATTCACTCACTATTATTAGTGCAGGTGGTACAGTTCGGTCCTGAAGTATCCTTTGTATTAATCCTGTTATTAGTTGAATTATCTGATGCTATTGTAGTGAGAGACGATGATGAAGTTGAGTTATTAACCACACCAGACATTAATAATGATGACAATATAATAGCAGTAACTGGAGGGACGCAGAGAAGTAGCAAACATGAAAGAAAAACAGAAAAATAATAAACAATAAAATAACAAATTGTTTACTTGAAAGTAAAATGACGAGCATCGAGCATGACAGTATAGCGGCATCAGATGAACACGGACACCCAAATCGCTCTTTGACATCTTTAAAACTCAAATCTGGCGAAGCACTTGACAACACTCGCCCGTTCCCTCCCCCTCCTACTGTTGGGTGCTTCAACAGCATCTCGTTAGCAGAAGCATACAATGAATTTGAAGTTGTCACTCTCTCGGGAGGTTTGTGAATGATTTGTCTTGGTCTGGTCTTAATCTCATCATACTGGGTTCCACTCTCTTGTGTTGCTATTGTACCAGATGACTGGTACATTGGGTTGATACCCACCCCAGTGTAGTCATGTTCGCCCCTTTCCATATTATCTAAAAACACAGCAAAGATAATGAATAGATGCAACTTCCCGTCACAGTGTGTTTTATAAACACACCTTTATAACTAAGTAAACATTGTAAATTCCAGTAAAGTACACCGCAAACAATAGTACTGCTTAAGCTTCTAAATTAAATCTACTTATAATAATCTAATTAAGTCTGTCACTAAAGGCCTTTCTACACTAGCACTTCTAATGGGCATTGAATTGGTTTGAAACCGGTTCCAGTCATTCCATACCTGATGGGCATTGAAGCATACCACCTCCATATTTGGTTTGAATGTGCATTCAATAGATAACCAATGGCAGCTGGATCAGAAATACTATCAAAATATACAAGATCCTGAAGATAGTGTGGAATCACTTGATGCACGTTGAATGAGCATCAGTTCTAAACCAGTTCAAACCGCATTACAAGTGTAGAAAGGCCTCTTTTAATGATAATCCACAAAATTTGGCTCCAAAAACCATGCTCAATTTTCATTACATTTTTAGATGTCCTAATATCTGACAAATTTCTAAAAATACCATGGTTTCTTCTAAAAAATGGCTCCAAAATCATCCCAAATTTTTATTAGATTTCCTGATACATATCGATGTCCTTATGCTACGTAGAAATTTTGAGCTCATTCCGACTTCAATTTTCCAAGTTATGGCCAATTTATAATTAAAAAATTTGGGAAAAAGCAAAAACTATATATAGTCCATTGTTCTTTTTCCAAAAAAATGGCTCCAAAATCACCCAAAATTTTACGTTTTCTGATACATATTGATGCCCTTATTCTATGTAAAAGCTTGAGCTGATTTTGACAAAAAATTCTTGAGCTATAGATGCTTAGCAATTTGAATATGTATTCTGCTCAAGCTGGTTCAGCAGCAGCAGAAATAATTATAATAGACTAACATACAACTACATTCTTTCTAGTAATCTACCATTATACATATGAGATAACACTTATGCACTTTGGTAAAATGTATAATGCACTAGCTGTTTGTTGTCGTACAGCTTGTTTTGACTTTCAATAAATATTTTAGAGCTACAGTATATAGTCTATAGGTTTAGTACATAAAAGTATCTTATGTCTAATAACTGGTATACGTAAAATTGTATTGGCTTGATAGATCTTATCGTATTACTCTAAGCACTGCATTAGGCCTTGTCATGGGTACAGTTAATTCATTATTCATAGAGAAATTGAATTACAAGCCTATTCGCTTACCTTTAGAAGAGCTGATCTGGTGAGTTACAGCAAAAGAGGGAGTGGGTTACAACAGCGCTAATGGGGGGCTACTGGGGCTATCTTCTTGTTTAGGTTGATTAAATAAAATAGCATTTCTATACAGGGAGTAGGAGGAGAGACCACCGCACCACGTGAGGCGGTACAAAAGGAAGCAAACCGCAAATAGCATCAATATCATTATACTTGCACAGCACAAGATAGAAGAAAGCAACCTCTCAGTTTTTGTTCCTCGTTGTTTTCTACTTTGTTTATATCACTCACTGGATCATCATGTCCTCGTTTGAGTCTAACGTTGAGCTGAGAAGATACAACTCGAATCAGACCAACACGTCCTACCAGCAGCAGCAAAATGGAGCCCCTTCCGACGTTCACGTAAGAAATACTCCAAGCACACAGTAATGTCACTTCTGTATTCATGCATTGTAATAGTAATGTTTGTTTGTATTAAAAATATTAGTTGTAATTGTATCAAGTGTGTATGGGGGTTTAGGGGATCATATTAAAGACCAATTTAGATTCTCCATTACCTCCTTGTTGTACATGTACATGTATGTTACTGTGTTGATTAAATCTTGATTGTGTACATGTACATGTATGTTAGTGTTATTAATTCTCCTTTTGCCCCACCTCTCTCCTCCCCATTCCTTCCTCTTGTTCTTGTCCTTATATTATGGCATTAAACAAGTGCTCAGGATATGTTATGATGTTAGATTAGATTACATGGAGTGTTTGTTAGGGTTTCATAATTTTCATATACTTTGCTATGTTATTCCAACATTACTGTTATGTTTATTCTCTCCCCCCTTTCCCTCTCTAGTCCTTAGGTAAGTGTCATATTAATCTATTTTAGAAATTATTTTTGAATTAACAAGCAGATCCAACATCAGTTGGTACGCCTGTCTACGACAGTGTCCCTGGAGAGAAACAGCGTCCTCCTCCCTTACCAGAGGCCCGTAAGACCACCTCTAATACAATGTACGCAACAAGAGGTGATACACTTCATCCCACTAGCACGATGCTAGAGATGAATCCACCGGAATACTCCAGTGACGGGCTTGAAGCTGAGATTGACTACATGTCTTCTAAGTGTCTGAGGGTCACCTGTCTTTCTATCCTCGTCATGATTAGCTTGTTCCTGGCCATAGTGGCGGTGGTATTGGTCCTTTTGTTATGGTTCGGGGTCTATGGTCCCGCTGCTGAAGCGTGTTCATCATCAGGTACATCAAATTCAAACCAGGCAGTAACAGGAGGAGCTTATACAACCACAATTGTACCCACACCTTCTTCTCCTTCACAATGTCTTTGTCCTAGTAAGTTAATGATCTAATAAGTACATGGTCATACTCTGTTTTGATTAGTCTGCCCAGAGGACAAAAGAATAGGGTTTGCACAGGGATAACTAGAATAACCACAACTCAATGTCATGAGTACTATGTGTTTACATTCCCCCATTATACTTTGTGTTTAGATTCTCTCATTGTATACTAGTGATAGTTTCAATTTGGGTTTATGTACATACTCTGTGGTTTCATGTGCATCCAATATCTTCATGTATGGTGCATATTCATGCATGCTATGCATGTGTTGTTCCACCCCTTTTCTTATGCTTAGCATTCTTTTAGCACATGTAAGGTTTGTGATTCAAGTTGGCTAGTTACAATGAACAGCTGCATGACTGTAGTATCTATACATGTAGTACCTGTGTTGTTTGCTGTCTTAGCAATCTGAAGAATGAGTATTTGTTTGTAGTTTTTGTGGTTTTAGCAATTAACTATTAGTGCTCTTTCCCTGCTTCCTTCCCCCTTTCTTTCTCTCCTCCCCCCCCCTCTCTCTCTCTCTCTCTCTTTTCCAGCTCCTGATTTGTCTCCAATTAAAGCACAAATTGAAGTAAGTTTGTTAGTGTTTACAGTCTCTTTGTTGGTGCATACTTATAAGATGTGAACTGCTAGTATTCATATGTAACAGATAGCAGCTGCTATATATCCCTTAGCTTCCCTGCACTTTGTAATGGTATAACAGCCCAGCACTGTATGTGTAATTGCATGATGGTTCAAATATCCACCATCACACCCACTTCTCTCATTTTAAATATTGATTATGATGCTAGTAATAATAATGCCAGATATGATAGAGTCTTTGAGTATGAGAAGAGATGGAGAGATTCAACCACAAGTTTTGATTACATACATGTATTTCCTTTCTGATGAAACCTTAATGTCAATTCCTTTTATTCCTACCCACTATAAAGCAAGAAGCAGCCAATCTGACAGAGCTAATAAGAGATATTACTTTTGACATCTCTCTCATTGAGCAGAATGTAAGTAATAATGATAATAATATTAATAACCAATACTTAATTCTATTCTCTTCTTTACAGAATAACAATACTGACCGGTCATTAGCCTCTCAGTCTTCATTCATCAGTAGCACAGTCTCCGATATTAACTCAACTTGCTATGAAGCTCTGGCCAACTTGACGGCTCAAAACGTCTCTCTTGCTGGATTGGAATTTGAGGCCGAGCTGAGGAATGTGGGCGTGTATAGCTCATGTATCTATGAGTACCTGTCCAACTGCTCTATGCCTACTGATGTATCCAACTGTACAACTGGATATCATGATGTCATTGTAGATGTGAGTTTTATTATAGTGCTTTATTACATGTACAGCAACGTCAATCTTCATAGACACAAAATGTTGTTGTTGTTATTATTATTATTATTATTATTATTATTATTATTATTATTGTTAGGGCTATTATAATTTGGATCTTGCCTGCCATATTGAAGTTTCAGGAAGTAATGCTTTGCTTTTTGCTCCTCTTACTAACCTAAGAATGACAGCACGTTCGGGAGAGACTATCCAATCGGGTGACTCTGCGTCCGTTAGATTAGCCAAGTCTGAAGTTAGATGCGAGTGTGCTTTGGTGCCTCTCTATAATGGTGCTACAAGGGTTAATGACGTCTATTGTTCGGTGTTTCGTTCCCGATGTCCCGTTACCAGTAACTTTGAGAATGTTATCATCATCACACCATGAAGACAGCACCATAAAACAACCATTACATTATAAACTTATCGTGTGCATGTGTGTTTGTGTGTGTACCTATTATTGATAATTGTAGTTGCTTACGAATTATTCTATCGATTTTATGTATGTTCTCTACCGTTTGTTTTTCAAAATAAATATATATAATAGTATTGACAGCTGCTGAGTTCTCAGAATGATGATCGCTCGATGTGTCAATGAGTGGAATTTCTACTATGACATTATTATGCTTGATGTCTGCCAAACCTCTTCCATTACAGCACTACTTAATAGTTCTATGATAAACCATGTGCATTATTCATTTACAAGCATTGCACCATTGTTCTTTAGTGCATTAATGCAATACTGAGTATCATTACTATTTATAGCATGCTTTACTCATGCATGAAGGTGCAAAACCCTCTAAAAGCTGTGGGCGTAAATAATTATTGTAGGAGGAGGTGCAGCAGACCACGTTTGAACAAGAGATTGAAGAGAAAGAAAGAAGCTCGCAGTTTATTTGTCTGTCTTTGTGATGGTTGGAGATGACATTCTCCTGGAAGAGTTCCAGCCTAGCAGTCTTGTCAATAATCCTACATACGGGAAGACGTTCTTAGCAGGCTACTCTGATGGCTGCTCTTCATCTGATAGCTCTGACTACCTTTCAATATCTGTCAATCCTCACTACCAGTCTGTTACAGAGATGATGGGGAAAGATCATGAGCTAGACGGCGTGCCAATACCTGTGAAGAAGGCTGGAGTGACTGCTTCCGTTAGCTTCGTGGATCCTCCATTACAAAGCGAGGTGCACTCCCCGAGTCTCGCCATTTTGAGTTCTTCTGCACCACAGCCTGTCACTAACCCACAGCAGTTATCACTACGAGACAAGGAAGTGGAGGAAGAAAGCTCTCTTCCAGTGCGTACAGACTCTACCAACAGCACCAATACTGCTGAAGAGATGATCTCTAATCCACAGTACAGCTATGCAACACAGCACACCAGAAGAGCTGTTTGGATCACTTCAGATTACGTCAATTCTCCTCATTTCATTAGAGAGAGACCCACTCACAACTACTTACCTAATCCAATCCAGAGGATAGACGAGGAGGCGGAGGAGTCAGTTATGCAGCAACAAACTGAAGGAGGGAGTAGCACCATTAATTCACAGACCTCAGCTACTCGATTGATTTATCATAAGCGTTTAAGAGATGCGGATTCATCTTATCGTATAAGTAAAGCAAAGTTTGAGTTGCTGCTGGTCATGTTCGCTGTCCTTGCAATCCTGATATCCATCACAACTATATCACTCTCTCTCCTTATTATATTTAAAGGAGAGATGAGGACTCAATCTTCGAACGATGTCAGTACTCTTACCATCACTCAGTCACCTCCTACTACTACTACTGCTTTTAGTGTGAATCCATTGGACAGTTGCCAGTGTACAGGTAAATGTTATGTATATGGTGTTTCAATTGGGGTACCATGGCCAGCCCTTTGTTATTTGTTTATGTAGACCTTTGGCCTCAGCCTGACCAGCTGCATGAAACCATTGTTATGATTAGTACAATAGATTAATTATATTATTTCTCTCTTCTTCCTCTCCCCCCCCCTTTCTTTCCCTCTCCTAATTATAGTAAACCAGACTGATGATTTAAAGGTGTGTCACATGTATTAGTTGTTGAAGCTATTGTTTTAACTTACTTTCTTTGTTTCTTTTCATTGAATAGTTATCAAATTCATATCTATCCCAGCTGCTTTCAATCAAAAACATGATCAACCTGTTGAAGGAAGAGAAGGTAAGGGCCAGCTAGTAATTGCCAGCCATTGTCTCATTGTTGCAAAGTCATTATAATGATATGTCTATGACTCAATTTGTATAAATTCCTTTTAAATGTTGATAGTATTGACAGTAATGGGTTATGTTCATTGACAGTCTACAGCTGCAATTTATTGTTTAAACTGTTCCATCCTACCTTTTAAACAATGTAATTTTTGTCTTTACAGAATATGTCTACTAGTGATGTATTGAAACAGCTCAAGTCTTACATGTATCAGGTTAAGATCATTAATGAATCATTACAGTCATTGATACCTGAGTCTAATAAACCAAGAGTGCCTACACTAAATGGATTGAACCTAACATCATCAATAACTATCAATCATGGTGACTGTGTTGATGAACTGTGGGAGTGTACACCTCACAACACACTTGCTCTTGCTGCTACTAATGGATTAGATTTTGGTGTCTGTACTACAGTTTATTCACCTTATGCTAATGATGTAAGGAATAATTTGAGGTACATTTACATTATTTGTCTTCTCTCTCTATAGACACATGTAGTTGTTGGTGCCTCATGTAACTTGCTTCCAGTACTACCTAAAAGAATGTTCTCAGTTATAGCATTAAAAAGGAATGCTGATAGCAGATATGTATCTGGATTACAGCTGCTAAAGCAATCCACCATTGCTTGCCGTTGTTTCAACTATAATGAGGAACAGGCATATTGTCATGCTTATCTCAAGAAATGTTCTTATCAGCAAAATATACCTCAGAATGGCAGCCTCTCTATTTCCTTATAGCACATGCGAATGTAGAGGTTCACATTATCAGGCCACACTTATTTCATTTTTGAAATATCACCTTTACTCTTTCTGTCAGTAGTGACAGGTTTTATGTATTATAATAAAGATCCCACAATATATTAATTATTATCTATCATCATAAAAAGGAGTGCTATTATTGTTACTACTGCTATTGTGTATCTTATTATCGATATAGTTTCTGGTGATTTTGTTTTAATTTTTAATAATGGATAATTCGTTGAAGAATTTAACTAATTATGGATAGAGCCATAATATAACTATGATAGAGCTAACATACATACCTGTGGTTTTACATTAGCAATACTCATGAGAGTATTGTACCACTGGTTATTAATAGTTAGTAAAAACCAGAATGGCTGCTCACGTGACTTCTAATGTAGATAGTACAGTGCAGCCATAGCGGATTAGGAATCGCACGGTTTTAGCTCTGAGGTCTCGGTTTTGTGTTTCTTGATCCTGCTCGTTCAGTTTCTGAATCCCAAGGCTATCAAAAAGTCTTCCTGATAGGTAAATGATCTTGGACGCTTATTAGATGAGTGAGATTCGTTATGATAACTGTAAATTAATGGTGCGATCGAAGCCTCATTGTTCTGTAAACTGAAAGCATTGTCATAATGACATGTAGTGTGGTGTATTATGTTGTTGTTGTTAAAGTTCGATTTACTATTATTATTAACATTATTATTATTATGTAAACATTGATAAAAGCTTGCAGTAATGAAGAGATGCAGTAGACCACGACAAGCAATCTGAAGTATGTAGAGTAGATTCGTTGGTGAGAAAATGTTGGGAAATAGCTAAAATTATTATAACCCTTGTAACGATAATCATCAATGCATTGATAGCTATAGGTGTATGTTTATTTATTTGTTATTATTTACAAAATATTATGGTAAACTCTACATGATCGAATTATCCAGCCCATGATTATTGTTAAGTTAATAATACCACAATTCTTGGATTAATAATTTATTTAGTGGGGACAGTCGATGTGTATCAGTATTGTCCCTCTGTGCCCTTTAGTGCTATATATCAATTGATATCATATTCCCCTATAGACACAGTTTATACATGTTCATGTCACATGTACTATGAATATTATTATCTCTATTGTTATACTGTGTTTTGTATTGAAATATGATGTTCAAGTGCATCAAATGTTAAAGTACATCAAAACCTGTTTTAAACCTGTTTCGATTTTCCTTATAAGGTCAAAATAGCAAGCCTTATTTTGCTGAGATAAGTCCATCATTTTACTCTATCTCTTTCCTCCTCTTTAATTTCCCCCTTATATAGTTCTTACAATGGAATCTCCTGCCACACAGACTCAATACCAGTCCCTCACTAGTAGACCAGCTCAAAGCGAATATGATACAGTCAGTAAAGAGCAATCAATGCCTCCAGTCTCTCGTCAACACTCTGTACAAAGAGAGGATACGCCCCATACTGAATATGACGTGATAAATGGAACTCCAGATTTAGAATATGACACTATCCCTCAGCCCTTCCCTCTCTCTCAGACAGTGACCACTAATAATGCCTTATATGGTACACGTGGTTCTATTAATAGCATGAAGCATCCTACTCTTAAAACTGGAGATAGGTCCTATCAGTTGTCTCCTGTCCCGGAGTCATTGTTCTCTTTACAAAATGATGATGAGAGCTGCTGTTCAAAGTGTTCATCTGATGCAGTTTTGTGTGTATTTTCACTGCTCACGATTTTGCTTTCATGTTAGCTATATACCATAATATAGTGTTTTTTATTTCAGACAAATAGTCATTTTTGTAAACTATTGTCCTCCTTATCTGAGATTTTCCTCACTTTCACTCTTCTATTCTTTTTATAGGTATAACGATATCACTTGTATTATTGATAGGATTCAACGTCATTCAGCTCCAGTCGTCATTGTCATCATCAGCAGTCCTTCCTTTACCAACTGTCAGTGTATCTCCTTCTCAAGGGAGACAGACTGGCCCTCCATTGATTAGTACTACCAGTACTATGAGTTTACCTTCTCCAACACAGATGCCAACATCATCTTGTAACTGTCCATGTAAGTTTAGTCACATATTGTTTGGTAGTTATTCTTTTTGCATATTTTAAATTTCATTCATAGCTCCTGAATATGCAACAGAATTTACCGTAAGCTATTGTTGATTGGTTATATATTATTAAATATGCTTGGTTACTATAGGCAATAATGGAGTCAATATCATTTATAAGTGGAGAAATAAATAAAATGGTACAAAATAAAGTAAGTTCAGTTAAGGCTTTCTATGTATTGTACTCAACTTTTTGCCAGCTCATGAGGTGTGCTTTTAGTATAGAGCTTTGTAGAAAACCCTGATTCAGTGTATTTTTCAAAAATGGCTATGAGAGAATTCTCCATTTTTGGAATTTTTTAAATATTTTATGTTGTGTATCTAGTTTGAGCTGATTCTGATCAAAAATTAAATTTTACGAATTTTTAAAGTTGTTCAACACTGGGCCATAAAGACCATATGCATGCATGGTCTTAAGTCAAATTTTGCAAAAATTGAAAAGGAGAGAATTTTCTATTTTTATATTTTTCTTGACACATATACATATACTCATGTTGTGTAAAAATTTTAAGCTGATTTTGTTTTTACGTTGTTCAAAAAATCTCTTCAAAGTCCTTGTACTATAGTACATATTCTTGGGCCAAATTTCGCCAAAATTGAAAAGGAGAGAATTCTTCATTTTTACAATTTTTCCTGATACATATACATCTTCTAATGTTGCCAAACTGATTCTGACCAAAACTGGTTTTTTTAATGAAATTTTAAAGTTGCTTAAGAATCAGGCTTGAGACAGTGTACTATAATAGTGCAGAAATGGCCAGGAGAGAATTACTTTTTCTAGTTACTAGTTATTTCTAATTCTAATACATGTACATGTTGTCATTGTTGTGTATTAATTAAATTTTTAAAGTTACTCCTTGTCAGCTCATGAAGTGTGCTGTTTAGCTCACTTATTTAGCACATTTTGTGGGAAACCGTGAGTTTGGTATTGTTACTTAATTACTCCTTTTATTATTTTATTTAGAATATGTCTACTAGTGATGTATTGAAACAGCTCAATGATTACATGTATCAGGTTGAGATTATTAATGAATCATTACAGTCATTGATTCCTGAGTCTAATAAACCAAGAATGCCTACACTAACTGGATTAAACCTAACATCAAGTATCAATGTGAACAGAAGTGAAGGATGTACTGTAGAAATTACTCCAGTTTGTACGACATTTTCATCACAATGTGGAAATAGTGGAATACCTTTCATTAAGGTTTTAAAATAGTTTTTGTTAGTTATTTTGTTTTTTGTTTTTGTAGGACAATAAGATAATGGTGGCTTATTCATGTAATGCTACACCAAATTCTAATACTTCTTCTGTTGTCGGAGTTATTAGAAAGCTGTATGATCCAGATCTTCAGTTCCAATGTACTTGTTATGCTATTAGTGGACTGGGGTCTTGTGATACTATCATTCATCGTTGTCCTTATAAAGAAGCAGCTCCAGCTCTGACAGCAACATTTACTGATATTTTTTCAAATTAGTTTATAAATATTATTTTAATGTATGTATCATATAGTCAGTTTATCTATGCAGTTTATCAATTTTCAATTAGTTCATTTATTATTATTAGCCACAGTCATTGTCAAATCTACCATTGTAGCATAGGCAAACTGTGCTTTAATTGCATTAAAATAACTTACTGCACTATTGCACACACAGTTAAAATATCAGTAGTTGAATCACATAATCAGTCACTTTATGTAGCTATGGATTATGAAGTACCAGTATCTATTCAACAAGCTCCAGTGTCTGATTATGAAGTTCCTGTCTCCTCTAATCCTAGCTACTCTGATCATGTACCTCTCTCTACTAATAATAATCAGCTATTAGCTACACCAGTCACTACTAATCCTTCCTATCAACCAGTTAAGAATAAAGTTTATTCTTTTGATTATATATTAATTCACAGGTAGAATTGGAGACTGAGTATTATGATACTTTTGATGCAAATAAGATTTGTACAAAAAGGTTAGAAATAAAATTGAATTCAACTTCACTTTATCAATACATATACTATAGCAACACCTCATATCTACCAGTTGATCTAAAAACTACAACTACTACAGTGAGTCCTTCAGTTCATATTAAAAGGACAAATAAGAGAATAAGATCATATTTCAATGAAGAACTAACCAACTGGGAGTATATACTAGCAGCACTAGCCACATTGACTGTTCTAATTACAGTTACTGCTATTATACTGTCGTCACTACTAATGTCTGGTGTAGCTAATAATTCAAAGTCATCATTTTCTCCCTTTACTACAAAAACATCAAATCATTCAACAAATAACATTGGGAAGGATACATCAGGGTTTAACTGTACCTGCACTAATACTAATAATAATAGTGAGTGTTTGTGTTTATTTATTATCATTATATTTATATACTCTATGTAGATATAAACACTTCAAGTTTAACAGTAAGTACTGTATGTACACCCTGTTCGTAATGGGAATATGTCAGGGATTATGTTAGGAATATACATCATGTACACAGTACACTGTGTAATGGGTAGCTTAGTTGGACACATATATCATATCATATGTTGTGTAATGGGTTCATATGTCATTCAATGTTAT